GCAAATGATTGAGATTTCTCCAAACGAGCTGTTTGGTTGTAGTAGTGATACGGTTTCTTCTGATCCATCTTCTCCCATCCCAACTTCCTCCTGCTCCATGGAAGACCAAAACCAAAGACTCATAAGAAATAAGTCTTTAAAGTTGTAGCCATTAATGTTTGAATATAGGTAAAGTAGCACTAGAAGTGGAATCACCATACCAGTGCGCCCTGGCAAACAAAGTATAGCTGATCTACAACACTTCCTTGTTCCAAAATTATTTCTCCTGGAAGAAAAAACTCTTCATGGAGCCTAACAGCCTGAAATATGAACAGAACATATGTTAGAATAGAGTAGAATGAGTCTGTAGGCTGGAGAAACTCTGATACCACAGATGACTTACAATCTGATTGATAAATTCTGTAGAGCACCCATTAAAGAGGACAACTTTTTCAATGATGGGAAGGTATAAAGTTTCTGAGATCTGCAAGGAAAAAGCTAATCTTTAGAAAACAAGGAAATGGGGCACTTTTGCAAAGAGAAAAGAAAGCAATCAAGATTTACTCGCACGTCCTTACCTTAGCACGGATGGAAATTGGAATTTCCTGAAGAACAGAGGCCTCAGTGTAGCTACGCTCATACTGCAACCTTAAATGGCCTGTGATCTGGTTACGGATGTCCCTTCCAAGTTGATTCCTGTTCATATACTTGATGAGGTCCGTCATTTTGTCCCTGTACTTCTCCGTCTTGGATCCTTTCACGATTAATGCGGTCATGTTGCCAATCAAGTAAGCACCGAGAATCATGTCGAACGATACATAGATCATGACAAATATCATCTCCCTCAAGTTGACAGCATGGATATCACCGTACCCTGCCATTAGATAGTAGCATATTGCCTCAGGATATAAGCAAGAGACTGTTTATGTGTTATTGACTGCTTAGTTGTGTGTGTGCTGAGAGATGATTGCTCACCTACTGTAGCCATGGTCACAATGGCGAAATATAAAGATGTTGTGTATCGTGTCCAGATATCAATGTCTCTGAATTGTGCATAACTGTAATCACCCATCTTCAGACTCCCAATCCATGTGTAGCCTTCACTGGAAGCTGGTAGAGTAGTGGCCAAATAGTAAAATATGCAGGCTGCTGTGTGTGTACAGTAGAGCTCAACTACAATGAGCTTTATGATTCGAGTGAAGAGATAATTAATCCTTATGTCCTTCTCCATCTTGTAGAAAAATTCTATAACTCTCCGCACCCGCCATAATCTTATCCACAAAAGATACCTCACTTCTTCCCTACGCCCAGAAATCTGTAGAAATAAAATTTCGCCAAGAGCATGGAAAAAGAACACGAATAAATGACAACATTTATCTCTTTTGTTTTAACAAGTACATTCTTGTACTATGAATTTTAAGAAGAATACATTTATGTATTGGTCTCAAATTAAAAAAATTCATCCAAATTCCTTGCTAATGGAATCGACTCATATTTAGTAAGTACTTTCTTGTTCTTGATGATTCACATGCCACTATACTATAAATCTATTTCTCACCTCTCAATCTGGCCTTGTTGATTAACTTACTTGCTCTCGCTGCTTATATTTAAGTAGGTATTTTCTTGATGATTCAAATGCCACTGTACCATAAATCTATTTCTCACCCCACAATCTGACCTATTAACAAATCTTGGCCTCCCCAAGTCTCAAATGACGAATACTCCATTAAATGAGAGGATTTATGAGATTCAAGTTGAAAGGCAAGATGTGAATTTTTAACATACATGACAATGATAATCATTTAAAGTGTGCTTATTAAGCATGATTCTACCTCTATAACTTAGTTGGATGAAGTCAGTAATCTAGGGACTGAAAAGAAACACAACACAGTTGTTACAGGTCATAGTAAGAAACGTGTTTATAAAACTACATAATTGAGCTCGAAATGCCATTAAGCCAAAAAAGGCACTACCCTTTTAAGCAGGAAACACTACACAAGCACTTCTCATGAAACTTGTGTTTGTTATCAATTTGAAACTCTTACACGCCAAGGTGGGCAATGAGAAGATTTTTGTCCAATTTCACTAAACAGCAAGCTCACAAAGTATAGCTGAAACATGAAATGGCTACAACAATGAGAACAGAGCAAGTCAAATACCTGGTAGATGATGTCCCAAGGCATGCAACCAAGCAAATCAACGATAAAATGAGACTTTAAATACCTGTAACGAGACTAAGAACAAGGGATTCCAATTAGCAAAATTTAAACACTAACATGACATGTAATGTAAAAGGAGTTCTTTGTAGAAAGAAAAAACACTGACCGGAGAGCAATTGGTGAACGTTTATAGACCATGCGATAAGTTTGTGGGTCTCTGTAGGAAATAAAGAACTGCAGAACAATGTCGAAAAGGAAAGCAATCTGCCCTACTATGTCCAAAATGAAGAGGTTCTCTGGTAATCCCCTGAAGAAACCGAACTCCATGGGCGTGAAGAATGAAGAGTATACTGCCCACAGCAGAATGAACTTCGACCATGCACGATACCACCTGCAGCAAAAAAAGTACACTTCCTTAAGAATAAAGCAAGAGATAATAATACTTATACAAACATGGAGGCCATGAAGAATATAAGCAAGTGTCAAAGCCAAAAGTCAACCTGCTCGTGCTCTCCTATCCATTATCCAGCACATGCAGAGCACCATTGACAGTTTTGGAAACTAGGAACAAGTGGGTTTTCTTGGAAGTTTTTACAGGCCAAATTCAATGAAAGCTTAAAAAGGGTAGTCAGAGGCCTCAGATTAAAAACTAAAACATGACACAAAAACTTTGTTGAACAGCTGCTGCTTCTGTCACTGTAAAGCATTGTCCGCTAACCACTGTAAAACGCTTGCCTTTTTGTTGGGTTTCTCACTCTCCCCCCTACCAAATCTATGATCTTGGGTTAAAACGCTTTTCTGGAACTTTGCTAGTATCCAATTACCGATCTACGGCCAAGGGAAAATCAGTACTACTTTACTACTACAGTAACCATGGGACTGAAATGCAATAGAAGATAAGTGATCGGTGCCCGGGGACACTGGGCCAGCCAGAGCCCATGGGGAAGATGAGAAGTCAAAAGAAATAGCGAAAAAGATTGGTTGGCAACTGGGATTTCGCCACGACGCTGCGAAACCCAATAATAAAAGACAAAAACATGGGCCAGGCCATGTCCACAATTAACATGGCGGGAATGGCGGCCTCTTTCAACTGGAACCGCCGACTAGCGAAATATGTAACAACCATTAATTAAAAAAGTACGAAAAAACTAGGAACTGAAAATGATACCGTAAACAGATTAAATTCTCCATTAAATTCATTTCAGAGGAAGAAAAAAACGAAAGGAGGTCCTAATAATAATCAAATAATCATGCTTGGTGTGACCAATGAATGACCTACACTTGCAACAACAGTCAATTGCTGAGCTGATTTTAGTAACCACAATAATTAAAAACTTACAGGAAAAAACAAAATTAAGGACAATCTTCCAAATTTCACATCACGCGCCGCTAATTTTAATTGTTTTTACCGTCTCCGGCGGATTCGCAAATCGCAATCGACTTATCATTGATCATAATATTGACGGAAATTGACGAAAATGGGAAGAAAAAGAAGAGAGAGAGAGGAGTGACCTGTTATCGGGATGGATGATGAGACCTTTGGAGACGTAATGGAATCCATTGATGAGAGATTGACGGCTGAACTTGCTCGTGCTGGATCCTCCGCCGCTCCCTCCCCCTCCTCCGCCGCCGGCATTCCTCCTGCTCAAACCGAACTGCCGATCAATCAGATTGAATCTGCTCCCCATCGACGAACCTAATCTCTCCCTCACATCCTGCACTTCGAACTCCTCCTCCTCCGCAGCCGACGCCGTCACCACCGCCTCCTTCCTCCTCTCGCCGCCGGTCATCGTCGATCCTAATCAATCACAAACTCCTCGTGGTTCGATTGTGGATCATATGTTCAGCTCGTGATGGAGAAAGGATGTGGAAGAATCGAGACCGGATGACGATCGATGGCGGTGTCGAATCCGTTGAGACTTGTACTGTTCTGCAAATTGCAAGGATTCACGAGATGCAGGCAATGCGGGAAGGGGGAAAAGGTGGGATTGAAAAGGCGGATTTGATCAGGCTGTTTTTGAAAAACCAATCGGGAAAATGTTTCCTCCTGAGGAAGTAAGAGGGAAACTGATTTCGTTGGGAAAATTTAATTTGGTGATGGAAAAGGGAAAGAACAAAATGGAAAAAGTTACTCGATTGCAACTTTCTAGGCAGCGAGATCTTCGGTCAGGCAATTTATAGACGCGCGCCCTGTCGCGTCGCTGTCGTCCCGCAGTAACAAAAAAATTATTTATTTTATTCTGAAATTCCCAGTTAATTATACTTTAGACTATTATTTTACCGTATAACTAATCCTGCTTATCTCTGTTTCTTAATCTTATTTCTAAATAAAGATTACGCTGCTTAGCTCGTAAGTGCCGATTTGCAAGCTTTGAGGGTAGATAAAATTAGCAAATTTCAATTTCAAATCTTAATATTTACGAACATTTGAAACAAAATGCTCGTCTCTGTTGATTGATATACTTAATGCTCTCTATGATTCTTCGTCCTATAAACTCATATCAAGTAACATAAATTTCTAGCTACAGCTACAAAACAAATAATAATTAGCTTTCCTTTTTCGTTACAGAGACATTATAAAAAAAATTTATAAACTTCTATACGTTTGTTAAACCTTGTGTTGTTTGTTTCTAATGCGAAAAATGGTTCGAAAATGACCCGAAAAAGAAAACACGATGGGGTAAATTAAGGTGGGGAGCTAAGCCCCATCTAATCCCATTTGTGAATGGAGTTTTATAAAGGCATTAAGAGAGTCTAAATATGGGTTTCAATTGCGGCCTATAATGGGAGCGTAACTAAATTAAGTAACGTTGGATTGCAAGGAGGTGAATGAAAAGTTTGCCTAAAGCTATGGAGAACCTAACGCATTAATGCAATATATTGTAATGATAATGCTAAAAAAAATACAAGTTCTAATAAGTAATCACGAGTTATGAAAATGTGACTACTTAATTAAGGCTAAGGTTTAGTAAGGTGTCAGAAACCCGTCATTGGGGTTTCTCTCATTATTTATTATTAGGATAATTATAATTATGGTTAGTAGAGATTTAGTCGTAGTATTAGTATTATTATTAGGGTTTTCCAGTATTTTCCTATAAATATGTACTTTGGATTTATGTCATAATCAATAAAAAACAATATTAAGAAGAATCTCTTAAACTCTAGTTTATCCTCTCAACTCCTAATTTCTACTATCTCATAATCTAATGCACCGGCTGATTCCCAATTCTATTATGTTCTTTCTCATCTAAATCCCTAATCTCAACCCTAAATTCCTATTTGTTACAAGTAGTTACGGGTGCCGAAGATCAGTATCGAGAATCCCTAACAAGAGGTATCTTTCATAAGGCTATAATTATCTGTCTGTGTATGATCAGACCTAAAAGAATTTACAGCCTCTGATCAATAATTTCTTCACTTTCTTATTATCTTTAATACATTATCACTTATATAAGTCACATCCTTGTCAAATACAACACGTTTGAAGACTACTCGACCAAGCTCATTAAATAAAGAAAAGGGGCACAATTTGCAAACTTTCCTATCAACTATCATCAAGTTGTCAAAACAGAAATCTCAATCTAGCTAATATTAATTTAATCGGGACCCGCTACGTACCTATACAAAAATGAGCTGTTTTCCCCCGATGATCATGATACAATCCATCTGGCTTGAAAATTGAAATATCAATCAGCGGGACCAAATGGGCTTCACCTCTTCAAAATCAAATCATTAGTACTGTGATGGGAAATAGGAATGGCAATGAGTTGCGCAGAGTGAAATGGTTAACTTAGTATCGAAATGATGATTGATTAATCGAGTCAAATCATTCGAAATATGTAGTTTCCTTTAAAGTAAACTTAAATGTAATTTAGGTAAATATGGATAGAGAATGAGGTGGTCAGGACGAGTTATATCGAGACGAGTACTCATGTTCGTCCTGTCTATGAGACGGGTATAACCTGCAAAAAATAGGTCAAACAGATAAGATAAAACAGATCAGATCGGATAAAATAAATCGGTTCGAATTGACATACAATATAAACACATCATATACTTGTATATTTCTTGAACAGCGAAGCGCACTCCCAAACACATAGATTAGATATCAACATCTAATGTAATTGAAATGCATGCAACATGTGCTGTCAAGAAGGTTGACATGTATCTGAATTAGCTCAATTGCTCAGTTAATCTCCTAAACTTCATGTAGAATCACATAGTTAAGCATTATATATTTATTATTATTACTAGCTTATAACCCGGCCCTTTGGCCGGAATGCTCATATTTGATTATTTGTATTTTTATGTTACTTTTAAGTTTATTAATCCGTTTAATCTTATTGATAATCATTCGATCGAGATGATACATAAAGAAATAATATATAAGGTCGAACATTCAGAGAAATATCATAATCATTTAAGAATATAAAATATAAAAATGTATCATTGACCCCATTTTCATAATGTTAATAAAGTCCCTGTTAAAATGCTATTGGTTTTTTTTACAGTCAAGAGATATAGAGTATAAAAGCTCACTGAAATTCTCACACAACCCATAGATAGTTTGAAACTAAATCTTAAACCTCACAATCCTATATAAAGGGTTCAATGCTCTCCTTTCAGAAACAATATGTCACTAATCAAAAAGAAATGGAGAGTTGTTGATTCAAGTCATCTATATACTAAAACCTCAGCTAAGAGGGGACCATCACAACATGAGAGCAAACGAAAAAATCAGGGTTATCTCCAATATACGAATAGACTCGATCAAAGTAATAAGGCGCAAAATTAGAAACTCCTTATCTATTATTTCCAGTAGGTTGAATAAAGAAGCGACCTATTTCAAACAATCAATCAATGATTCCTCGTTTTAAGATAGAAATAGGTTGTGACAGTTGTAAAAACCATAAACCTAAAGATCCAATAGCCACCACTCTCCGTTGTACAACCAAATTTCTATCTCAAGAGGCATATATTCAACCAAAAATTCAATTTCTAATCCTCCTTCTACAACTTCAGTTATTGATGAACTCCATTCTATTCGCCATGAATTGATATCGGAGTTGAAATCTTCTACTCGCCCAGCTTAAAATCCCCAACAATAAAACCGTAGTGCCAAGAGATACCTGAAGATTGATTTTCAATGACAGTCTTGTACTGGGAAGTGAAAGGCGCAAACTATTGCACGATGGATGAAATTTCGGAGGAAGTTAGAAAGAGAAAAGAACAAAGATAAAAAGCAAAAAATTTAAATTTAAATTGAAAAATGCAAGGATACAACACGTAGTTACATAATTAGTTTCTTCCATGTTAACCAATTACCCATTTACCTTTAGCAAAAATTAAGGAGAGCTTGCTAATTATGATGAAAAAGTCCTCTGATTTTCAGAGATTAACTTTGTCCATTTTTTGTATAAAAAATGATGCAGCAAATTTGTTTAGTGTAATTGGTTGTGATTATTATCTTTGTTTGAAGAGATCCGAGTTCAAATCTTGATATTGCTATTTTTATATGAAATAAATAATAAATGTGTAAAGACAAAAATGACCTTCCTACTTTCACTCTCGTTGCATGAAATTTGAAATGGAGAAAAGTACACAAAACTCTACCATATATTAATGGAGGATTATTATTATTATTATTATAAAGCGACGGCTAGGGAATTAAGCGTATTCAGGTTTGACTTTGATTGTGTGTTTATAATGTTGATCAGATGATGAATCAGCGGGTTTCTGATTAAAACCCAGCTTAATTTTATTATTTATTTTTGGTTATTCAAGTATGATTACTTATGTTTAAATTAATTATATGTATATCTAATTAGTAATTAGTGATGGCTCTCTCTTAATTCGTCAGTTTAACTTGTAACTTGTGAGCTTCTAGGCCGTTTATTCCTTCCTCCTCGTTGCAGTTGTACATGACTCTATTTTTATTCATTGTTTGCCAGCTTATATAATTTATAAACATGTCATTCTTATCATCTCAGTAGATACTTAGATTGCGTGCAAGGGATGTAACTTGACAACCTAGATACTAAAAAGAATGGACAAATGGATGATTAGTGAGTGTTCATGTACTCCACATCCATCACATGTTTGTAAAAAACAACCTAATCATAGTTTATCAATATTTAGTACTAATCGTTCCTAGTAGAGTATAAACCGCAATTTAGATCGTCGGTACTGTTTGGTAAATGGTAAGTAATTCAAATTGTCATTCGAATTCCAATATATACCTTGATGAATTCGACCCTACTTGTAAATCTTGTTTGATAAAGGAATGCATGGATCATCAAGATATGATCGATAATGTTCAAAAGCTAACTTAGAGTTGAGACCAAATGGCATCATGATACATTAATGGTCTTATCAACCCCGAATCTTAAGTTAGAGTACTTCAACGATAATTTTTTGGAACATGAGATGGCGAACTACCCACTTAACCATAGTCTCCAATCGGTGTAGGGCCAACATAAACATATATACCACTTCTTAGATAAAGATTATTAAATGCTTCCCGCGAGGACAAGTTTTTTCATAAATACTCACTCTTACTAGTGATAACTAAATAGTCTTTATCTTATATAGTTCCCGTATATTAATTTTTAGAATATAGTTCGAAGTTTGAATACAAACATTTGAAGAACCGACCAGACCCCTATATAAAAACACGTTCTCCGAAGTCTGGATCTCCAGAAGCTCATCTCATCTTGTGCATTGGTTCAATAAGATGTTAGAATATCAAAACAAGAAACTAGCTAGTATATATAATCCACCCATTCATCACTCTCCTTAATCCTTATTAATTAATTTAAACCCACAAACAAACTAGCTTTGGCTTCTTCTTTCTAAAGGTAGTTACCACCAGTCCACCACTAATAACCACAAAAGGAATAGAAAACAAGAAGGGCACATTTGCTAATGTTGGCCATCCCACATTCTCAATTCTCATTAAGTCGTCACCACTTACCACCCACGAAACTCCAATAGACCTTTCTAGGCACTCCAAACAATTTAGCAAACTCGTTGCATGCTTATACATTGAGGAATTGATTAGTTCTTGAATCGTGCTTTAATTTCCATCCACTTAATTAATTATTGATTTAACTTTGAGGGTCTGAAATTAGGAACATTTTGTTTTGCAGTAAGTTTAGTGACTATTAGTGGTATGCAAATAAACAAGATTTAAAACAAGCTCTGATGGAGGCCCCACGTGATTTGATCCATTCACATCCCACAGCTAAATTAAACAACCATTAAGGATGAGAGAAGGACACTAAATCAATAAGCACATACATTTAGGAGTAAATATATGTCGGAGTGAGATAACATGTCACATTCCCAATAGGAAGGGAGTTTGTTGCTCTCGTGACTTTATCATCATAAAAGAAAAATGATATGCGTTATAAATTAACGAGACTGTGTTGAAGGGCTTAAAAACATATTTCCAACAAGTGTAGGTCATCAACAAAATACTCATGGCTCTACGAGTGGACCAAATTCTACGAATTGAAAAATAGGAGGATTCGACAAAGCAAGAAAACAAAAACAAGAACGAACACGACATACGATTTACGTGTTCACTAACATAATGTGTGTCAGCTAGTCCACGAGCAGGAGAGAGCCAGTTTCACTATACTTCGAGTAGATACAGATTACAGAGCGTTATGAGAAGTATTTATAGTACTTCTCATGACATTCAGTTGTAACCCTAATCCAAACTGGTAAAGAAAAAGGGTTTACAAGTTACAACTAGCCCTAATGACATTCAGTCGTAACCAAATAGTCCGATTCAAGTCACATCAACATACATGAACTTATTTGTCAAATTTCATTGCACATTGACATATTTGTTAAAAGCAAACCTAATATAGCCACAAAAAATGTCACCAGTCCAGTAGCATTCGTTGGAAGTAGACTTAATAATAAACAAGTAGGATTAGGAAGATAAGTTTTTGCCCTAACAAGAGACACCAATCACATTCCCAAAGTGATCAGTGGGTTTGATTACTAAATTAGTATGTGTGATAAGCAGTGCCATCTGTCCTACTAGGCAGATGAGAACCCATACAATTTTTTCTAAGGTTTCCTAACAACATGCTCCCTCGATCCAAATGGAACTTCCTAAAATACTTCAAAGTGGTTTCTGGCTTTGACGTCAAACATCCACTTGGTTAACTCTGGGAAGTTGTGCTATATTGAATCAATGATTCGTGCGGTTTGATCGATTATAATAGTGTGTTACCTAGGAAAGTATTTAAGCTAGCTGACTGGGACATGACTCACCACCTCCAATACTATGTTCTGTGCTATGCTAGTGGATACTGAATTGACTTCTCCTAAACTGAAGAGAGAATTAGGTTTTTTCTATGACGAAGTACTGTGAGCGAGGGTAAACTTTGATTACCATGATCTATGACTCGATCACAAGTGCGACTCCCTGAGTGAGAGTAATCTATGACTCGATCATAGTTCCGACTCAATCATAGTTAACTCAAGAAGCACAACTCGCGGTTCTAACTAAAACCGAGATCACGACCGTTGGACCACAATTAAGAAGGATGGAGGCAAAGCAACCTAATAGACCAATTAACAGTCACAATCTACATGCCCTAGTGGGAAAATGATGCACAAATATTCATATGACTGATAACCTTATGAGAAGTATTGAACAATTTCCTCTCAGAGCTCCAGCAAGTGGAGTTGCAGCTAATAATAATTAAGTGAATTGATGACTCACTTTGCACCTTGGCAGACACGGGTTAGGCCCCATGATGTATCTCTACATCTTAATCATCCTGTCCTGTGTATGACTAACTCGATATATAATTACATTATCCAATTCCCGTAACCCAAATTGCTAGAGAATCAAACTTTTGGGCGTGCTGTAACAAAAAAGTGAACACTTTCTCTCATTTTGGCTCTTTGATAACAAAAGGCAGCCAGCCAGTCTACGTTAGATATGTAACATGATTCAGAACAAGGGGAAAAAGAAGAAGTGTACCTTCAAATAACCAGCGATACTTCGCCATAGACAGAATTTCCCAAGAAAAGGGAATGCTCTAACAGTTGAGAACCACCGGTAGCCAGGAGAACCACCTACAGACCAGTAGGGTTTACTTGTGTTGGCTGGTGAAGGAAACAATTTAGCCACGCTACCTGTGCGAAATCACTTGATCAAATCTTCGTTCACAGATGCTGAGCCCTCCAATCGACTGTGAAATCCTCATCACCGTCACTGTCGCTGGATGAATCTTCATTGATGGATACCTTCTTGGCAACCTCAGAAACTCTGCCTTTGACACGTTTGGCTGACTTAGCAGCCATCAGTTCCATTTTCTTCCTCTTCAATTGTTCCACCTTTTGCTTATAGGTCCTGATATGAGAGGTATTGAATGAGATAGAGAGAAGAGTATGAAGGTAAGAGAAGGTTTTGAGGCAAAAAAGAAAAAAAAAAAAAAAAACAAAGAAACATAAAGCCAGTATTGAACTTGTCCAACTACAGAAATGAACTCACTTCTGCTCAACAGACTCGGCTTCTTCGATCTTTTCAGCTGCATCGAACTGCATTTAGAGACATTGGACCATTTTCAAGGATGTTGAGGGGCTCAAAGTATTTTTTTACAGTACATAATGAACTCAATCTGAATCTCACCTCCTCTTCCTCTAAGCGGTCATCAACCTCCCGCACGTCTTCTTGAATGAGTTTCTCGAATTCTTTATACTCATCACTAACAAAGATTTGATAAAACATTCAATATCAGTAGGATAGTTTCAGCAACAAAGAAGCAGTACTTCCATTCAGACACTCAACCCAAACTCAGGAAACCAATGTTCTACTTACATCCTTCCAGGAAACGAAAAAAATCAAGAAATAGTTACATACTTCATATCAATGTACTACCAAATTTTAGGTGCTATAAAGTCAAAAGCAAACTCACTTGGCATCAGGCTTGACAAGCTTTATGCCACGAGCATGTAAATCAGCTTCCTTGTTGTCAAAGAAACCTTCAGGAAGAGACCCCTTTACCTGCTTGATATCTGTACCAGTAGCATTTGTTTGCGTCTGTACAGAAGTCCTACCATCCTCTGTTGTTCGCTGTTGCGAATCACTAACACTAGTTAATGCTTCTGATTTATCTTCCACAAGGGACTCAACTTTCTTAGGTTTGAGAGAGCCACCCAACTTTGTTGGTGGATCCGAACCCACAAATTTGACAGAGTTTCCACCTGTAAATGAGTTTTGGGTTTGTTTAAGTCACACAGACCAAAAGAATTATTAAAATCAGAGAAAATGACAGCCCGTCTTCAAAATCAGGTAAATACGATACTCAAGTTCATAGATGAAAAATTAGGTCCAACAGATAGCTTAAAGTTCTTCAGTAGGACTGGTTCAGAGTTAGAGAACAGATCGCAAAGTCTAGTACAAGCAGTATCCTCTTCCTTGCATTCATACAAGAATTAGAAGACATCAATTGAATTTTGTTATAGACGGGAACTGTAGGATGTTTCAGACAACCAGGCAAGGCAATATCTCCAATTCCCTCACTCCTCAACTTTTCAGTATTTAAGTCTGTAATTAAGTACAATACCTGTCTTTTGTGCCTTAGTCCCATGATTGTCAAAAATGCCTGGAGGGAGTGCAGATGCTGACTGTGGCTTTGACACTTTTGTTGGTGGCTCAGCATGCAGCTCTGCATTGTTTGTGGACACAGGTCCGGTTGATTCAATGCGAGGTACATGGTTTGAGTTGGTTGCATCGGTCTTTCGAGCTGCATTAGCTTTGAGATTATCTATTGCCTGTTCCATCACATTCCACTTAATCAATTTGAGTAAGAAAAGCGAGACAATTAGCATACTATGCTCTGATGATCCTTAGGTTGGCAATCATTTCATGCTGATGCCTATAGATCAAAGCCACCAAAACTTTCTTAACAATCCTAATCACAGTAAACCAAAACCATACACCAGCAGAATAAAAATGCAGTATCAAAGGGGAAACCGAGATATGACCTCACGATGTTTTCGAGAAGCTTGATGTGCATCCCATTGAGACTCCTTCAAAACAAGATTGCAAACCCTACAAACTGGTAGATCGGATTCATTATACCTGCAAAAGCGAGCAAACGAACCAAGCTGTAAGCACCAGGTTGTGCAACGAAACCAAAAGGACGAGCACAAGCAACACTGTATACTGTACTCATCGCCAACAGCATCAAATCCAATACGGGAGCATTGGCGGCGATCCAAAACAAACAACTAAGTTGGTAATTCAACCATTCAGGGCACAGAATTTTCCCAATTTACAATAAACTAATAGGAAACTAGCAGCAACTCCTAAACTTCGCCGGCACTCCATAGCACCGGAAAAGGAAACGTAGCAGCAACCATTTTTAGGGTATTTTATTTCCCCCGAGAGCGAAAGCTGAATAGATTTTTCTGGGAGAGTAGGATGGCGAGGGTTCTTACCTGACGAGAGGAGAATCGATTCGTTTGTCCTTCCTCTGAGCATTCAACTTAGCTCTGTAGAATGCTTTCTTCTTATCCATTGGCCTCTTCTTTGCCGAGAAGTTTCCGACTTTCACCGGCGGACGAATTTTATTGAAACTGAAAATCAGCTACGGCTGCTTGACGGACGATCGCCTGGTCTCAGTCGCTCCCGCTTCAACAGCGAGCCGCTTTCCGCTTTCCTATTTTCCTTCTCCTTTCAAACGGGTCAAGAGGCCCACTTTGTATTGAGCTTTTTCTCGATCCATTAAGGCCCACTGGCCTTCCCGGATGGCCCAAATTCACTACTGGCCTTTACACCGAAAAAGAAAAATACGAGTTTATGTGTCTTCAAAAAATTGGCACCAACTTCCAGACTAGAGCTGTCAGTGTCAGGCATGGTACTCTGGGGCAGCATCATCAAGGCATTGAGATTTTAAAAAATGAGGAATGCAAAAGAAAAACTGAAAAAGACACCATCAAATTGAAGTAAATACCATATTTTGTGTCATGTTTAGTTACTAGAAAAATTTAATATCAATTGTAATTTTTTTTGAAAAATTTGGCTAGTAAATGATATTTACCTAAACCCAAGTAGACCCATTGATTATCGGTAGGGAATATGTTATGTATATATGAGTTCGGACGTTTGTAGATGGGTTTGGGTAGGGTATGAATATTTGTTTCCATAATCTAAATGTGTATGAGTTGGGTATGAATACCCATTTATTCTAGGGTGTTTTAATTATACATACAAAAATTAGACCTATTTTTAGAACTTCAAAAGTTTAGGTACCAAAATGTAATACACAAAAATTTAGATACTAAAATGTAATGTTCCATCAATATTTTGAGGACTTATATGCCAACAAAATAAATTTAGGTTATAAATCTAAAGATCTATCAAGTTTAGGTACAAAACTATAATTTGCATAATTGAGGCTTAATTCCTTTTATGGTGATGTATTTAAGATGATAATTATTTACTTCTATATAGAAAATGAAAGATGTTTATTTGATATGTGTAGATACCTAGAAAACATTCCATGTATAATTGTTGAAAATTCTAGCCTGGGTGAAAAAGAAAAACCCTAGAGAGAAGCAACTCGCTTAAAATTTCACGCCTTTAAATCTCATAGTGGAAAATAAAAAATTTATAATAATTAATAACCATATATATTGACATTGAGCTAAAAAGTTAGTGGGTCATGGTTCAATTATTAGTTCTCTAGACTGTTGGTGAGTTGTGTACCGACCCGTTCATACTTGTGATTAGAGTACATAAAAATAGTATACTAATTAGGGTTAGACGAAGAAGGCAGAGAAAAAAATAAAGAAAGGGTTATGCAAGGCGAGTGAAAAATGAAACGAAGAGAAAGTAGATGATGACAATTTTTTGACCATTTCTTTTAGTTGGCCATCAATACAAAAGTCAACCTTTTTCACCGTAGCAATTTATTGACACTTGCTTATGTAGATATCGCATATTATGTTACATGTAGTTAGTAGAAGTTTGTTTAGTACCCGTAAATGTACTAAATGAGTTTATAAATCCGCTCTTGCAATATTTTAGAGTCGTCTCTCTTTTATCATTTATTTAATGTTTCATGTAATGAGTCAAACTAAATTTATACGTCGATTGGATTCATATCTTGGTTCAAAAGGATTGGTGGATTGTATTCATCGATTCAAGTGAAATCTAAACATTGGACCAATATGTAAATTTAAAAAATTGTAGGTACGAAAATCTCATAAAATTTAGATACCAAAACATAATTGTTCAATAATTTTACATTAAAATTAAATTTGGGGTATTAAAATATAAAATGTACATTATAATGAGTAAGTTGTGATTTAATTAAATTTGGGGTATCAAAAATGTAACATTTCATGTAACTGTAACCTTATTTCATATTTATATATATTAAATATGGAGACGAAATAAGCATACGACTTGTATGATAAAGATATGACTGTGTAAATACAATAGATTTCAGTGACGAAACAAACAGAGTGAGGCAGACTATAAAGGGGAAAATCACAATAGCTTATTGAAATCAATGGAGTAAAAATTGCGTTTTAAAATTTAAAAACTTACGATTTTACGTTTTTAGATTAACAAAATGCTTTCGTTTCCATATAAAAACTTTAGTGCATAAAATCGAACTAAATTACACTTTAAACCTTAAAAGGTTACGCTTTTACGTTTCTAGTTCACAAAAATGCTTTACGTTTTTACACTTTTAGTTCACTAAATATGTATTCTTTTCATGAAATTAAAGATAAATTACCAATAATATGATATACATACTAGGTACTTGGATGCATTCTCAGCTTCAATAGAGTAATCTAATTCACCAGCTAGGCTCTTCTCAAATTCATTAGTATAGAGGGGACAGTGGCTTATTGTTAAGATTAATGTTTATGAACTTATTATTAAGAGACTATAAGGTGTTCTACTTTAGGCATGAATTACAAGTATTTATTAACTTATCTAAAGCATGTGCACTCATATTGTATATAGTATATGTCGTACTTAACAGTTTTTTTAGTTATTTTATAGGATGCGTAAAAAACTTACGTTTTTACGCTTTAATTCTACGCTTTACGATTTTACCCCTTTTCCGTTTCTAGATAGATTCATGCTTTTGACTGCATTGATTGAAATTGAAGTGGACTCTTGGAAAATGCAAAGTTGATAGACTACCATCTTACCACATTTCAATGTGTTGTTTTAACATATGAATATGATCCACATACTACAATAGTCAATAGATAATCCAAGATCCAACTACCTCTGCTCACTAACTATCATCATTGACTCTTAGCATGAGTACACAAGATGCAGGAGACAAAACATGCAGGATTTGCAAAAGGTGAAAAAGGTCTGAGAGTGAGACCTGTTAAGTTGACAGGAGAAAATGGTCAAATGGGGTCTTCAATGAGGCATTCATCCTTTCTGGGGGTCGTTGAGTAAATTTCAATCTTCCCGGTGTTTTTTTTTTCTTCCTTTTCCGATAAAAAATAAATACAATCATTCCCTCCCCCCTTCATTATTTCTGCCATAATTTCCAAAAGGCTTAATCTTGAAGAGGACTGGGAGTGAGAAGTTAATTAACGAATCGCATACAAAGCCCATTTCCTTCGTCGTCGTCTTCTCATTCTTCTGCAACTCCTTTTCATCCTTGGCGCTTTCTTCCCAACGCCCAATGAAAATGTCTCTCTTCCACAGACAAACATGCCGCCATTGCCATATTGTTTTGAATCTGAGCATGCCGCGGTGAAGTCTGGATTCCCCAAACCCATTTTGGGCTCTTAAAACGTCTTAGCTTGCTCTTCTATCAGGATCCCATCTCGTCGCCATTTAAACTAATGGGTAAGTGAGATAGATTTCTCCTGTCTTACTTCGTTTTGCAGACTTTGAAATGGCTATCCTTGGTAATCTCGAGGTTACGGATGTTAATAAAAATGTGGTCTTTTAAGCAATACCCAGAAAGTTGAATGTGAAGTAAGATTATTGTAAGGCAGGCATCTAGTGATGTTAGATTGCCTATGTCAGTTTTTTGTATGTTATGTAGCCTTGTGTCCTAGCTTTTGTACATTGATTGCTTTGCCAGTTGAAATTCTTAGATGGGTCACACTTTAGTCTGTAGATTTTGACTATGGTTAGTAAGAGAAGGCTGGATATGGAAGTTGGGAGTATGCAAGAGTTTGCTGGTTACTTAGTTTTAAGGTTTGATGCTGGCGAGTTGAGAGTATTCAGTTGGTGCATTTGGGTTCAAAGATGATTGGGGGTAGGGGACTTGCATTACTTCCTTATAGTTACATTTTGGTTGGTCACTAAGAAAATGTGAAGTGGTGAAGTTTCAGGATAAAGTACAAGTCAGGAACTTTGAATATCATGGAAGATTCAGGGCCATTTGGCCTTGCCGTTTCTAAGTGAATTGGCTTAAGTTCTTTCCTTTGCCAGGATTTCCTAACTTCCCTAAGAGCATAAGTTTATGAACTAATGAATGGTGTTGATGCAGGCTTTGAAGAAAATGATGCAGGAGTTTCACCAAGCCAAAGCTTGAATGGAAGTTTTAGAATGACCAGATCAGGTTTGCTCTTTGATTATCTGACATTTGAGCGTTGCTTATGTATCACTAGAAATTATGCCAGAGGAGAATAATTCTGTAGACAAGCACTTCACATCTCTACTCCATACTCTCTACAAAATACTGAAGATGCTTGATTCATCAGTTTAGTATTGAGCTCCACACTAGTTCTAGCATATCTTATATATACTTTATCACTATCTTAGGTCTTTCACAATATGACTTGCACTCCTCTCCCAGTTTCGATGGAAGTTTCAGGATGCCTGGATCTGGTTTGTGACTACAATTCTTCATCATACTTAACTCCTTTCATCACTTCTTCATTTTACTTTCATTTCACTTTCATACTCCATTTTCTGCAGTTATGTCTGGAAGAAGTTTATCGGATCTTTCTACTGCAACCAAACAAGTCTCTACTTCCAGAAGACATTCCAAATCACTGAAGGATTGGGCTAGAAGCCTTACCAGCCTTGACTTATTCACACACAGGTTCGAGAATTGGGTCTCTGAAAATGATGAGTCTTTCAGCTCTCCCTTCTCAATCGACGAAGTACTGAACCTCGATTTAGCATTGGAAGGAGTCCCATTTCAGCAGCTATGCCGGATGCCAAGTTCTTCTTCATATCCATCAGGCACCACAGAAGGGCAGTACTTAGCAATGGAGGACTTTCTCCATGCTGTAATGAATGGCTTGTGGCGCACATTTTGGCACAGAAGTAGTAAACCACTTCCATTTAGTCTAGCTTGTCCACGCAGGATCGGATCAAAGTTCTATACGTTAGAGAAAGTAGCTTCAAGAGGAAGACTCCAAGAGGTTCAGGGCTTAGCTATAGTTTCAAACGTCGAGACTCGTCATCAGTGGGACCGAGTGGTTCAGTTTGCGTTGGTTAGACCGAACATTCTGTCTGACAATGAGCTCAAACTATCCACCCGAATCATATGTGAAGCCCTCTTCTTTGGTGTTCATATTCTCTGTACAGCTGGCAGGAATTCGGTTTTCGTTTTGGTTTGTGACTCGACATTTGGTGGCGTGGTGAAGATAGAAGGTGATATTGGGAAGCTTGAGCTGAACTCTGTCAGTGATCCTTATGAATGTGTCATAGACTGGATCAAACGTCATGCTGAGGTCAGAGTCTCTCCAGTTGACCAGGTGTGGAACAAGCTAGGCAATGCAAACTGGGGGGACATAGGTACCCTGCAAGTAATGCTGGCGACTTTTTACTCCATGGTGGAAATGAATGGCTCGCCAAAGAAGTCCATTGCTACGCTAGCCTCTCAACATGGGCTTCGGCTTCAGAATCGAAGGATGGAGCGCCGCATCATCAGAAATGGGAGCACTCCACATGAAGGAGAGATCATAGAGGCCAGAAATCATCTTCAGGAACCCAATAAGAAACAAGCTTCGAGATTGAAGCTTCAACCCGGAACACTGCTGACGATAGATGACCAGCTCGATGGAAGAAGGAAGAGCTTCCAAATCCAGGAATGTTCTGTTGGAGGGAATTCCTTTCTCTCCAGTGCTATCGACCTGGCTTGTCCATCTCAGCTGTTGGCTCTATCTGTTGGGGCCCACACCTCGAGACTCGAGCCCTCGTGGGAAGACATGAGCTTGTGGTATCAAGTCCAGAGACAAACCAAAGTGTTGAACATTCTGAAGGGATCTTCTTCTTCGAGCAAATGCCTTCCGGAAATGGTTGCTTGCGGAAGACTCTTCCATTCAGGACAATGCACTAGACAGAGCCCCAGTGGAAGGTGCAACGATCCCTTCTGTGGGACCCCTATACTCGTGACATGTCCTGTAGGTCAGCCTCTGTCCTTCATTGTAGCCCGGGACGGGCCATTGTCATCTACTGAGGCGATTCGATGCTGCAGAGATTGCCTTGCAGGTAAGGGGTGGCTAACTGGTTTAGTTTTTTGGCTTGGCAAGAAACCGAACTGGCAAACCATTATCGTTTTGTTTCAATATCCTTAACAGGGTTTTTTTCTCTCGGTTTGCAGGGTTGAAGAGTGCTGCAGCTGCCAACGTCCAGCATGCAGACATATGCCCGGAGAACATAGTCCGCCGCATCCTTCCTCATTCCACAACAACGACGTGTTCCTCTTCCTACGTCTTAACCTCATGGGGTCGTGCAGTTCTGGAAGAACGAGACAGTGCGGCCATCAACTTACAGTTCTCTTCATCCTATGCACTTCAGCACGGGAAGCTCTGTCCATCCTCAGATGCTGAGAGCCTCATCTATTTGCTGTTGTTCATCACTGGCAGCAGCATTATGCATCAGCAGCAGCATGACTCGATTGAGTCGGCATTAGCGTGGAGGGAAAGAAGCTGGGGGGAGAGATTGATTCAGCAGCAGCTGGGAGAAGTGTCTCCGATACTCAAGGCGTTTGCTGACTATGTAGATGGTGTGGCGGGAACGAATTATCCAGTCGAGTATGGAGTGTGGGTGGAGAGGCTGAGTAGAGGGGTTGGTGGTGGTGGGGATGATAAAGGGAAGACGATGGTTGAAGAAGAAGAATATGAGATTGGTGAAAGGCTGGTGATTGAAGATGTGGATGTTGCAGAATCAAGTTCTTCGAGGAACTGATGGGTAAATTACCATTTGGTTTTTGCTTGTTGAACTCCATTTGGCTGTGGTCGAAGCCATGTCTTAAATTTGTTGGGCCATGAAAGGAATGCTGTAAGTAACGGTGGGAGGCAACGGTTTGGTTCATATTAGATTGAAGACAATCAAATCAGTACTATTGGAATTGTATCAGACATGATGAACTGTGTTTCGGTTTAGTTCTGATTCTAAAATGCAAAAACTTTTTCTCATTGATTCTGGACAGGAACAGACAATCCCTGCACCCTTTATCTTTAGAATCTGTGACTTCCAGCTCAAGTTAGCTGCTAAAAGATATAATTTCTGCAGAAATTCAAAATCCATAAAACCAAGAAACTGCATCTCTTAATTCTCTACTTGAAACAACAGATTCAACAAGCATTGAAGTAAACTCGCATTTCCACAGCCCACAGAGTCTGGTCCTCGTCCACAGTTGTCATGGACTAATATACACTATCCAGAAACCAATTACAATCTTCACTTGCACTCCAAGCAAGGCTATGAAAGCCAAAAGAAGCCTTCACTACCTCAAAAGCCCACCTAAAATGAATGACCTAATAAAGGAGAAAACTATCTTACATCAAACTTGAATCAGTGACTTCACGTGTGCAGTGTGAGGAAGAGCAAACCCAGCTCTTCTCTCTTCAAACGAGTACTCAATTTCTTCAGCAACCGCCTCTTCACCCGCTGACTTGAAACCACCGAAATGAACTGGAGCTGCTGGAGTCATGGCTGTCTGCATCGGTACTGACACTGTGGAGGGTGTCATGGCAGACACTGGCAGTAGCCTAGGAGTTCTGTTTTCTTCCTCAGCAAGGTAAGCAGCAGTGGTGGTAGTGGTCTTTGGGGGAGTCATGAACAACTGGTCATTCTTCTTGAATGCACTTTCCCCGTGGGCTACTCTGACTGGCTCTTCTACATAATTAGCTTTGGATGATGTTGTAGAAGAGATGGGTGAGAATGGCTTCCGCAGCAGCATTTCTGGTTCTCGGCCGTTTGCGGTGCCAAATGACTGAGCTTTCATGGGCAGACCAGCTATATCCAGACCTCTCCTACCTGCAAAGAACATTTTGAAGCAAAACTAATCTTAACTGATATGGTCTACAAGGTAAAACAATCAACAATGCATGCCTAACTTAGTAAATTAACTCTTACCATCACATCACTATTGTTTAGACTTACGGCTTTCAAAATCTTGATTTGCAAAGAACAGGCCATTTGAATGAAATAAAGTTTTACAAGGAGATGACCTACTTCAATACCGAGAAAACTGCGAATGAAGAACCCAGTTGAATATTTATGCTGAACCCGATGAAGATTGGTGAGCCGTTAGTAGTCGGTTTCACTAATATCATCTTCAGCAAGGAGGAAGAAAAAAAAAACATGTTCAATGAATAAAATCCGAGCTATCAAACTCTTTCACCAAGTATAACTTTTCCCAAGACTACTAACCAGCAGATAAGGTAGAGAACGTATCATCCTGATACTGACTTAGTGAGTCATTGTGGTTGTTGATCTTCTTGGCAGACCGGCAAGACAATGTTCTGCTAGAGAGGGTCTTGTCGAGTTTTGGAGTTTGTGGCATCGCTCCTCCGACGGACAGTCTTCTATTGGTTGCACCTCCGGTTGAAACTCTAGATCCCTTTTTGAAACTAAGGTTCTTGGACGGACTTGGTTTTGATCCATAGAGAGCCTCTTGTTCTGCTATTAGTTGTCCCTGCAGCTTCTTTTGATCCTAAAGAAATGCAATATTTCAAAGTGATACGCATAAAACGGCAGAGATAGTTGAAAAAACACAGCCTCACTATACACAATATTCAGGACGACACTTTTGCAAAGAATTCCATGGGATAAGCAGTCAGATTCATACCCGCTGCCTACGCTTTTCTTCCTCTTTCTCTTGTTTTAGAATGCTATACTCTTCAAGCATGGAAAGAAGGCGAATCTGAATAAAAAAATTTGGAAAACAGATTAGTAATGATTAACCACAAGCAATCAACATCGGCGCCTCAAATGAGGCGGTAGAATCAATTACATTTGAGATATTAACTTGTATATACAGAACATAAAGGAACATGGAACTTACACCATCATATAAGAATTCTATGCCCCTCTCCTTTTCCCATGCCATTGTTTTAGAAGCCAAACCCTCCAACATGCCTGGAGAATGCACAGAGAAGTCACAAAATGGGAAGGAAGATATCTAATTGTACAGCTGCTTGCCACTGTACGGTCAACAAGAACTCTAACAAAAGTGTTGCAACACGACTTGGTTCTGCGTTGGTATAACATTAGGAACTCTGACAAAAGTGTTTACCTGGAATTTTGGTGACTAAAGCACGAGCTTTCTCAGCACGCTTGAGAATCAAATGAGTGCCTCTTCCAGCATTGTATCTATTATCATCCTGTACAACATAAACTGATGTAAGCGATCAACCAGGGAAGACAAATAAAAAAAAAGGAGCCAATTTGACACTTACCCTATTATATTCCTCAAGCCAGGATTCCTCCTCACACGCAGCTTTCCATTTCTCAACCTTGTCAAGAATTTCCTTCCTGCTAAAAGCTTCTTCCTTCACATTAGCAACTTGAAATTCAATCTGCTCCAAGAGACTTCCAGGGTCTACTTGTCCTGAATATTGAATATGTTTCAAACATTTAGTTTAATAATAATACATAATATGTATTTGAGACTCTACGTGGGAGCAAGCTGGTTACCAGACTCTATGGCTTCGATGGCACAATCTATCGCTACATTTGCTTCGGGGACCATATGGGTCTTCTTACAGACTTCATCCAGCTCTGCCCTCTTTTTCAGAACCAGCTCCCTCATCTTACTAACTTTCAACTCTTCCAACCGGGAGACTTCTGCTGCAACCTACATGTGTGAGCGTGTTTAAATATCAAGAATATCAAATAACCATAGAAAACCAAAATAGACCAGAAAAGGTAAATTCTAAGACTCACAAAATTGAGGAAGTCCATGGAAAGGGTATTTGGTTCAGTTATCTCATGTTCCGCAGCAGCTATATTGCATGTAACATTCTGGAATGCTTGCTGCTCTTCAATAGGGGTATCCATCAAGTTCCAAAGCTCCAACATAGCAGTTGCAAGATCTTGTAGCTGCCAAAATAAATAATATAGTTTTTATCTAACACAGTTCATCATTTGGCGGAAGTATACAAAACAGACCTCAGTGACATTACCTTTTGCATTCTTTGTAATTTCAACTCTCGCAATCTTTGAATTGCAGTAGCTAAAGATTTGATGGATTCATTACTTATTCTCTTTGATACGTCAGCACAGTCAAATTCTGGATGAATCTCAGCAATTGTTTGCTTGAGCTCCATACCAAGCACCACACAAAATGAGCTTATGGTATCTAAAGCCTCCTGAACCTGCTTCAGCCGATCATTCTGCAAAGGGAAAGGTTAATCAGTAACCGAATAACATTGCATATAAGAACTTTATAATACACGGAAGCTCCTCTTCCAACCTTCTCAGTTTGAAGTGCATGGAGCTTTCTATGCAACTCTTCCAGCTTCCTCAAAGACAGGTCACTTTCATTTACAGAAGCACCACCAGCTATTTCATTTATTTCATTTGAAATCTGCTGGATCTCTTCAAGAACTTGAAGAAACTGATTTCTTCTGTCAACCTTCCGTTTGCGCATCTCCTCAAGTTGTGGGAGAATCGTTTCAAGTTCTGCCTTCAGGCTTCCAGTGCTTTGATCAGCCTGCAATCATTACAAATGAAGAATAAATAAATGCACTTTAATATCTTGATTTCAACTATTCATTGTGTACACAGGAATAAGAACAATGATTAAAGCAAGAAAAGGGAAGTGTGAAGACTGTGAAGTCACTTAACAAAAGGGACAGTTAACCTCAACAACATGTAAACAACAATGTAAAATTGCATTGCTATAATACTCGAGAAAGTAATTTGCATATGAAGAGCTTGTTCAAAAAAAAAAAAAAAAAAAATAGAAGAAAGAAAAATACAGCTATGATTGAGATAGAATCCACTGTTGCTTCATTCTAACCTGTCTAATGTGTACCGGTCGCTCTCCCATTGCAGAACATATTGCTGCGAGCTCAGCTTCAGAGTCAGCAATTGCCTGTCTAAGCTGAGCTCTATTCCGGTTTGCCTGATCCACCTTTCTTCTGTATACTTCGAGACATTCTTGTTCAAGTTCATATAGCATCTTATCACGATCAGTATCAGACTCACCAACTTCATCCCAGATTATCTGATAGTCGGCATTAATGAGGAAAGCAACAGATTCCTTGAGTATCCATACTATAAATAGAGCAACAAATTGAACAGAAGGCCACTGATTCAATCATGAGGGTATACAAACCTGCAACTCGTTTAGAAGGGATCCACAAGTTGTCTCTGCCTGGCCTAATGGACCATTCTTGACAACTGACATTTTGTGGATCTATAACTGCCAATCAACAACAAAGCAACAAAATACTATACATAAGATACCGAGCAAAACAAAGAGAAGAATCATTTCGATTCTAAATGAGTAACTAATCAATGGACAATTTAGTTTATGATCATCATTGTTATTAGCAGAATAAGCTTCTATACCGCACGAGACATATAATCACCCAAACTATGCAAGGAGCTATGCACTGTGGCCATTTTTTTTTTTTTTTTTGTGGGACAATGACAAAATTAGGCATAAACCTCCAGATCAATTTGGTAAAGTGCGGGGGAAATCAGCCAAGGGTAGAAGCAAACTTCATAGAACTATGACGAAATTTCCCCATATAGACAATTTAGGTCGTCTGTGCAAAGAGAAACCAACTAACTTCACCAGAAACCATGCCCAAGCTTATAAAACTAAAAATCTGTCGGTCCACTTAATACAAAAGGACTCTTGGTTCGGGCAATTCTACCATAGCAATTGCTCCCCAAGAGAGCACCAGAGCTCATAACCCTTGATGAATCCCGCCACAGCAAACTATAGCCAAGCCCCACCACCCTAAAAACTCAGCCCTAATTCACCCTCGCTTGTTCCCGTCCTTCCCCTAACCCGATATACCATCAAATTCCACCTGGGCAGCTCCAAAAATGGGAACAAAATCCTAAACCAAACACGGCAAGTTCATGAAATCCCTAAAAAATGCGAACCTATACAATGTAGAACAAAGAACCCGCCAGTTAACCAAGCTACAATTTGTTTCTAAATTTAGCTCCACCCCTTCAGCCTAATCCATACAACACCCAGAAAAAAGCAACAACAAAAAGAAAAAAATTGGGGGAACCTGACACCGGCAGAGTCGATAATAGCTCGCCACATTTCCCTCCGTTACGGGTAAATAACAGAAACAACCGAAAGGGAGGAAGTAGATCGTCTCATGTACCTGGAACACAGACGAAAATCACAGGCGGAGAAGCTGCGGCGGGGGGTTTGAACCAGCGGTGAAGGCGTGGAATGTCGACGGCGACGCAGGAATTTTCTCGGGAAAATTTTTTAGCGTGGGAGAAATTTCGATTCTCTCTTTGGAGGGAAGGAGATGGGTAGATTTTTTTGGCTGGCGTTTGAATCTTCGAGAGGAGGGGCGAGTAATGAGGAGGGGTTTCGCTTGTTTCAGGTTTTTTTGAATAAAGGACCGTTTGAGGGAAAAAAGGCGCTCTTCGCTCTATCTCCAATTAATAATATCAAATATTTTTTTTTTATGATTAATAATAAATCGATGGATCCGATTTGAAATTCAAATTGCGTCCTGTGAGGGAGGATCATGTGTGTTGGGCTACAGGAGGAGATCTAATGAGGGGCTTTGATGGAATAGAAGTATAAAACTGGAAAAAAGTCAACAGCTATATTGGATTGAATCAATCTTCAAAATGGGCCTGGCATCAAGGTCTAGCCCACAAAATTTGTGTTGCTATTGGCCTAGAACAAGTAGACCATCTCATCTAGTTGGTCTCGGTCATTGTTTTTTTTAGGCAAAATACACTTGTGTAGCCAAAACTTTGACGGTTTGGCCAAATATAGCCACTTTCAGCGAAATACCAAAAATAGCCACTTCCGTCCAATTCTTTGACGGTGTGAATTAACGTGCTGACTGGACTAACGGATCGTCTTATCTGACAATTTTTGTTTGGTACGTATTTTCCACATGGATTTAATTTGAAAAAAAATTGAAGAAAATGGAAAAAGACAATCTGCCTTTTCCTCCCACCTACCCACCCACAAATTCACCTCCCTCCGCCACTAAACGCCGACCCTCTCTTTCTCGTTCACCCACCATCGCCGAGAGAATTTTTTTTTCCTTTCTCGTTCACCCACCATCGCCGACCCTCTCTTTCTCATCCTCAGCGCCACAAAAATCATTCTCCTCTCCACGATCCCCTGCAACCATTCCAATACGTATAACATCAATATATCTCCCGATCTCCCTCAATCTTCCCCAGGCGCAACTGCTCACCGTCGATTGTCGGCGGTAGCTTTGAAAATCGCCCAGATCTGGAAATTATCGCCCAAGGACTTGCTTTAAGAACTTGCTCCACCTTCTCCAATTGGTTCTCCTCCATCGAAATCCTAGTTTCCTGTTGTTTTATTTCAACCGAAGCAACAACCTGCTTCCTCTCGCCTCGCCGTAGCGGCGGCGACGGATTTTGGTTCTCGATTCGGATCCGGACAGCGATGGAAGTGAGCTCTCTGAGCTTGATCTTGTAGCCATCGCGGAGGTCGTACTGTTGAAGAGGAGGAAGTTGGGAGGAGTTGAGAGTCGTACCGTTGGAGGAGTCTGGATTCCGATGTGATTGCGAGGTGTTTGGATGAGATGTGAGGGCTACAATTGGAGATGCGAGGGGCTGCAATCAGAGGTTTTGGGCTACGAAATCCACCGAGAGATGTTTCGCTAGATCAATCTCGGAAAAAGAACGGTGGGGTGGAGTGGAGATGGTTTTGCATCTGACTTTAGATGGAAAATTGTGGTCGACGGTGAGGGGGAGGCGGGGCAATTTTTTGGTTTTTTTTTTGTTTATAAATGATTTTTTAAATAAATTAATTAAATATTTTTAAATAAAATCTGACGTGTCACGTATATGTGGCAAGTGTTGGTGAGTTGTCAATGATGTGTCAGATGAGTTGGCAGCCAGATCATCGTTTCGTTAGTTTGACTAACGGTGTTACTGACGCCGTCAAACTATGTAACGGAAATGGCTATTATTGTCATCAAACTTTCAAATTTCTGGCTATTATTGGTATTTCTCCAAAAGTGGCTATTATTGTCACAATCGTCAAAGTTTTGGCTACACAAGTGTATTTTGCCTTTTTTTTAGGTTATAGGTAAAATATGCCCCTCTACTATGATGATTTATCAAACATACCCCTAAATTATTTTTTACATCAAACATGCTTCCCTGTACCTTGAAAAAATTATCAAACATGTCCTTCTGTTAAACATTCCATTGAAAAAATCGCCAATCATGGTTGAACCGAGATTTAGACAAGCCGATATCTACAAATGGAAGAGAAAATGTCAGTTTTGTCTCCCGTTTTATTTCTCTAGGTCTCTTCAAAGTGAAATTATTTGGCTATACAAAAGAACCAAAAAAATTCTAAAGTGAAATTATTAGGGATATTTTAGACATTTGTGTCACCCAAACCAAAGTTCGGCCTTTGTTAATGGATTTTGGATGGAAATTTTAACAAAAGGGCATGTTTGGTAATTTTTTCAAAGTATAGAGGCATGTTTGATGTAAAAAATAGTTGAGGGACATGTTTGATAAATCGTCATAGTAGAGGGGCATATTTTACCTATAACCCTTTTTTTATGGTTAATAAAAAATTGCATTAAGCCCGTAAGTTACAAACCGCAAACTCCTCCTCCAAGTACAAGCAGTTAATAACCATAACAATAACAACTCAATGTAACTATCTACTATAGTATGCAAAAATAAAACCTATATATGCTTCATTCGAGCTTCAGGGTTTAGCTGTCATTATCCACTTCACTTCCTCTTCAATCCGTCTAACAAGCCTACTTGGGGAACGTATTGCAGCATTGTGACTTCTGCAACATCGCTCACGCCACACATAGCTAATGCAAAGGGACAATCTCAACCTTCCTCCACCTGCTATCAATGTGCTACTGGACCACTGCCTCACTGCCCAGCTCAAATGCTCTGACCATGTAGTGAAAACAGGGAGCTGGCAGAATCTGCCCAACACTTTAGACAAGACATAGCTGCTATAAGGGCATCCATAAAAGAGGTGATCGCGAGATTCTTCTCCACCTGGACAAAGAAAACAAGCACACTCCCCAACCAACCCCCAGCCTACAAGTTTATCCTTTGTGACAATACGATTCAACACTACTAGCCATAATAACAAACTATGTTTGGGACTAAATGGTTTCCCCCAAACAACCTTATACCAAACAACAAGAGGGCTAGGACTCCTTATGCTATGCCAGACAAGTTTGACAGAGAACTTAGGTAATACCTTTTTCATCCCAGACAAGTAGGTTACCACTGCTAGAGATAGGGGATTGCACCTCAGTTCTGCTTTTCAGAATCTTCCGCCAAATCCATATTCCCACTGATTGGTTTGATATGTCCCATATGTACTTGTACTTCAACCGATACTTCTTTACTCACGCCACCAATGGCGTAGCCAGAAATTTTGTTAAGGTGGGTCGAACAGTGAGGTCAATTTGAATAGCGAGCAACAAGAGGCGGTTGATAGCCTGACTCAAATGTTGAGTAAAACCATCACGTCATAGGTAGCATTTGACTAGAAGCAAGATGAGGTTTTCTTGCCGTTAAATAAATGGTGATTGCTCTAGTAAACGATGAGCGACAAGCAGGCAAACCGAGCGATGAGAAGTCGACAACTGAGAAAGTTATTATATTGAGGCTGTGGATTTTGAGAATTTAGAATCGTGGTTTGTGAGTAGAAGACAATAGGGTGTGATAATTTGGAGAAGAGGTCATATAAGGGTTGAAGACATGACATATTTTACTCTATAGTACAAAATGTTTTAGTTTAAATTTGTCATACTTTTCAATAAAACCTCATTTCTCCGCCGTTCATTTTTCGATACCACCAATCTATACAGATTTCCACTAAAAATCCAATTTCTCCATAGCCAAACTAAAACTAGCTCAATACATGGAAGCCTATATATCAAAGCTAACTAAGTGGGCATGAGCACCAACAACGAAGTGATATAATTCTAGCAACAACTTTTTATCGAAAGGAAGGTCAAGTTGGATTAAATAAATTGTATGTTAACCAGAGCACAACATGTACTAGTATCTTGGCAGTTCAGTTGGATTTTAACGAAAGGAAGTTCACCGGTAAGAATCCTCCTCCCTCTAAGCCTAATTATCTATTTTTTTTTGTGGACCATGACCATCCAAGGTGGTGCAGTTGACCTCCCTTGGATGGTTGTGGCTCCGCCACTGCACGCCACCCACAACGAACCAGATTAAACCAGCAGGTTCCAGATATGATGAACAACACATGCCTGGTTCCATTTTTTAAAATCCCTTATCCCCAATCCCCCTTCAACTTTTGGCAGAGCCACTAAGGACCATGTCACCAAAGCCCTCTTCCTCAGACTAGAGGCCACCAACACCCCACAAAAACTGGTTACGTATCTTCTCAATGTCTTTCAGAATTCTATGTGGTAGCATAAATAAAGCCATCCTATAGTTGTAATAACAGAAGAAACCAATTGCAACCTACCATCAGCATAGCTAAGATCGAAGGCATTGTTGCAGAACCCATTTTGATGGAAATTTTTCATTTTTGTCCAATAAAAAAAAAGAGAAGTGGAATCAGAAGAGGGTAAAGGAAACACTGAATTTTATTAAGGGTGGGTGGAGTTGTTTGTGGTATTTTGCAATATCTTCAGCTGGGCGTCCGTCAGCCCGCTATCGAAGGCATCGGGATTGCAGGATCCTTGAGATGAGGAGCATATTTGCGACGACGACGAGGAGAAGCAGCCGCCAATTGTACCGATCAGAATCAGATGCAAGTGTTAGTGTTGTGGTATATGATCCACGATTGAACCTCTCCCAACAACTCGAGTTATTGGGATCAACTGGTTCTTGACATGGTATCAGAGCCTTCTGTGACCGAAAGGTCTTGTGTTCGATTCCCGGTGACCCCCATTTGTTAAGCACATGGTATTCTTGTCTCCAGACCTGTGCAAACTTCAAGCCTTTATGAGTGGCTTTCGTTTGAGGGGGCGTGTTAGTGTTGTGGTATATGATCCACGATTGAACCTCTCCCAACAACTCGAGTTATTGGGATCAACTGGTTCTCGACAGCAAGAACCCTAATCGACCATTCCCAGCGCAGCCATATTTCGTAATGTCGTCGAGGAGGTTCTTTTTCTTGATTTATGCCTGTGGTGGAGTGATATCCATTTTGAAAACTTTGGGGTCGTTTGGAAGTTGCGATTGTTAAATAGATGTATTGTTGAGAATGCATGTATAATATTATACATGTATTGTTGAATTTGATGCATTGTAAAATACAACGTTTGGTATGTGTGATTGTGTATGTCGCATCAGCTAAAAGCTGAGACAAAACAATCTCAACTCAACTATCTCAACAATCACAACTAAAAGTAGAGATATACAATCCCTCAAAATGAGTGATAGTTTCTGTCACATCACAGAAACAATCCATGTATTGTTTCTGCTAAAAAAACAAAAAAAACGATGCATTGTAAACAATACATGCATAATGACAATCTCAACAAAACAAACGCAACTTCCAAACGACCCCTTTGCGTCGAGAATGCATGCGAGAAACAAATAATATTGGGACTCTTTATAAATAATAAAGGTTAGGACCGGTTGTCTTGGCTATTTTTTTTTTCTAAAAAAAAGCAATTCTTTTGTACATTTACTGTAACACTTTAGTCAAATCCCACATCGATAAAGCGCATGAGAGATCCATGATTCATAAGTAAGAAACCGATCTTAACTGACAAGACGCGTTTTGAGGTGAAATGAAGAAGTTCTTGTGAGAACTTCGAAGTTAAACGTGCCCAGTGTGGAGTACAACAATGATGAGTGACCTTATGGGAAGTCACATTGAATTGCACCCCAAGATAAATCCGTGCGGGTATAGAGGCCCAAAGCGGACGGCCATCTTGTTGGGGAAAAAAGTTCGGAATGTTACATTTATTCTCTATATGTATAATAGGTATGTCCATTCGGTAGTTTTTAATTACTGAATGGCTAAACGTCGCCGTAATTTTACTAATATAGCAATATCCCCTAACTTAAAACTGGAAATAACATTTGAAGGACAAACAAAACAAAAATCACAAACCAAACATATCCTAGCAAAAGTGAGTCTCTTCGCCGTAGATGTTCTCTGCCTGCATTCACCCATTCCGCAGTCGACCTCCGTCAGTATATGCATGTGTTCAGGTGACCGGCGCCGGTTAATAGGATTGTCCCCGATGTTAGTATATGCGTATTTGATCTTCTATTTTAGGTCTATTTTTGTGGGTTTAAATTGAAAATGGCCAGTGATATGATTGAGATGTTTCAGGTGATGGCGCGCTATTCATGCTCCGATTAAGGAGTCCATGGGAGGAGAGGAGACATCAACTTCCAAGAGAGAGCAGAGTGGGAGGACACGGCTTTGACGGTTGTTTGCTAAAATGAAACATTTTTAATAATAAAAACAAAAAGGATAAAAAAAGTAATTAAGTTAGGGACATAGTAAAACGTACGTTAGAGCGACAATTAACAATTCTCTTTAATTAAAGCCGTTTCATCGACAATTCATTGATTGTCGCTTTTGGCGATGTGACGTAATATTGTTGTTAGTGCTTGGTATACGATATATATTATTAAACGGGTTAATTGCATATTTGGTCACTGGATTTACTAAAAGCGTTTACGTTTGGTCACTACAAATATTTAATTTCATTCGCGGTCACTAAGATTAGTTCAATAGTTCAAGTTTGGTCACTCTCCGTTAACTTTTGCTGATGTGACAGTCAATCTTCATAGTTGACCGTTAAATAAGTGACGTGGCAATTACAAATTAATAAAAAAAAATAAAAAAAAATTTAAAATTCCCACATCATTTTCACAACTATTAAAAAATAAAAATAAAACTTAAAATTTCTATAATTTCCTACCAAATCTAACCTCCTCCTCCTATGTTTCTCCCCTTCCCTGTTTTTCACAGCTCTAGCAAATCAACGCATCGGCCCACACGCTCGTGGACTACCAACAACGGCGTGTCGTCGTCCTCGCTTTCGTCTCCCGGCGTGAGGCTGTTCGGCGTTAGGCTAATTATTAAGAAGAGCGCCAGTATGGGGAACTTGTCCGCGCACTACCATTCCTCGTCTTCGGCCGCCGCTTCCCGTAACCCGGACTCTCCCGTCTCCGATCATTTCCGCGATTTAGGTCTTGTGCCCGACGGGTACCTGTCCGATGACCCGGCCCACGACAACTCTTCAAATCAACACGGAGAGAGAAAGAAAGGTACAAAACAAAAGAAACAAAATCAATATCTTGTCCTGTTTTGTTTTACGGCGAACAGAAGAAAAAAACCCGCCATTGATAATAAAAAAAAATATGTTTTAGTTATGTTGGTCTTATTCTAGTAATGGAAGTTTTAGGATATAGTGATGTCATTTTGGTGAAATTATAAATCAAAGTCTGTGGCTGGACATCATTTTTGGGGGTAATATAATTGTCATCATTATCAATGGTTTGCTAGGGTTGGGTAAGGGAATTATAGAAATTAAGTTTTATATTTCTTTTTATTTTCCAATAGTTACGTTGTGAAAATGATGTAGAAAATTTAAATGTTTAAATTTATTTTCTTAATTAATTTGTAATTGCCACGTCACTTATTTAACAGTACTCAACTATGAAGGTTGACTGCCACATAAGCAAAAATTAACGGAGACTAACGGAGAGTGACCAAATTTGAACTATTGAACTAATCTTAGTGACCGCAAATGGAATTGAATATTTGTAGTGACCAAACATGAACAGTTTTAGTAAACCCAGTGACCGAATTTGCAATTAACCCATTATTAAACCTATCCCAACAAATCGAGTTATCGAGATAAACTGGTTCTTAACATGATTCAAATAAACAACATAAGCACCTCTATTCTCTGCAGCAGAGTTATACCATGCAAGTATATTTGCCGAGCAGCCATTAATATGCAGCGTATACGGGATACTCCAAGCAGCGCCCGGACCAAACCACCATATTTGATCGACGAATACGATGATTGATGACCAAATAATTAAACATCTGGATTTTATGCCGCCATTCTTGCTATGGATACCATTGCCGCCTTAGCGCTATACATATATATGCATCTCTATCCCCCTATATATATAGAGAGAGCTTACCATCTCTACAAAGCACAGAGAAAGCTAAGCTCAGCCGGAAGATCAAATGGCAGCTTACTCAATGCTCGCGGTGGTGGTCGTGATACTACACTACAAAAATGGCAGACAGTTGTGACGAAAAATTATTGACGACTTAGAAATTGCGTCGAAAAAGATGCATAATTCCGACGACCAACAATTTTCGTCGGTATTATATGCATCATTACTGACAGAGTTAAATTTTCGTAAATAATTGTGTTTTTTCATCATTAATATGAATTTTGGGCCGGTTTCAATTTTCCACATTCATTATTTTAGACGATATCATTTTCCGCGTTAGAAATACTCAATATTACAAACCAATAAAAAATTACCGTCAGAAAAAAGTGATTATTATTGACGACCAAGACGATTGTCAAAAAAAAATTATTAATTTTGACGCCATAAACAGTTCGTCAGCACTAATTGGTCACAAAAATTATTTTTGACACCATTAAAAGTTCGTAAGTACTATTTGGTCAGAAAAAAAAACATTTTTGATGCCAAAAACAGTTCGTCAGCACTGTAAGGTAGAGATGAAGAAGGTAGGGGAGTGAGTCGATTTTACAAAGAAAAAGAGAGAGGAAAGAGCGACTGCGGAGCTCGGCCGACCGGAAAAACCAGAGAGCGGCAAGGGATGCCGTAATTGGATGTCAGCACGATGAAAAGCAAATGAGAGAGGGTGGTTGCGGCGGAAGGGGTTAAAAATAGATTTTTTTTTTAATTTTATTATTTTACATTAAAAAATTTATTTAAAATATTATGTGTTAATGAGCTGATGTGGCAGCTAACATGGCGCATATGTGGCTGCCACATATGTAACCAACAGTCAACATTTTATGGTTGACCGTTTGGTCAACCGTTATCTATAACAGTCAACGAAATTGTCAAGACTTAAATGACACACAAGTATCATACGTCATGACACAAATGTCATATCGGATACTTTAGTACACAAATGACACAAAGTTAACAGTTTGGGTTTTTGCAGTGGTATTAGCCCTCTGACATTTATAATCGTGCGTTCCTTGCCTATATAAATTTAGAGCCTTAACAAAACGTGTACGACGTCTCGTACCTAATACAACACCCCTCCAACGCGTACTGAGCACCGATCTTGTTCGAACAGCCATCTAGTACAGCTCGCACGGCCTCACCTAAGCAGTTCAAGCACTCTGTAGTACCGAAATCCATTGCGCAATACGAGTAAATGTCGGAGGATACGTGGACTTGGTGATCGGGCGAACCACCGTAGTAATCGAAGTGGCGACAACCTTCGTGCAGTTGCAGATTCTGCAGTATCTTCAGTTGGGCGTCCATCAGCCCGCTATCGAAGGCATCGGGATTGCAGGATCCTTGAGATGAGGAGCATATTTGCGACGACGACGAGGAGAAGCAGCCGCCGCCAATTGTACTGATCAGGATCAGATGCAAGAAGAACCCTAACCGACCATTCCCAGCCATATTTCGTAACGTCGTCGGGGAGATTGGTGACGGTGTTGTTGTTGTTGTTGTTGTTGTTTCTTCTTAATTTAGCTTGGCTGTACATTCTGATACGTGCTATATATATATATATATATATGCATGTGGTGGCACAGTGTTATCCATTTTGAAAAAGCTTTGCTTTGAAATCATCTTTAGGTTATATGAGACAACAACTTGGAAATTTCAGAGCATAGGACGTAACATCATTAATGTAATTATTGATACTTAATTAATTTCATCAATTCTCATTTGCATAATTATATGACAAAATGACGATAAGATGGGAAAGTACCCCCAATATTTCCATAGAGTAGTGTAGTACGTTTATACTTTAGGCAAACTTTCCCGACACGGACCTTTAATTTTAGGCAAAATTTAAATTTCCCTAGAAAGTACTTCGTTATATTTAATAATTAATAACTTTTGGCTTTTCTGTGAAACGACGAAGTCGATGATCTTGAGGATCATTAATTGAACATATATAAAGTTACTAGCGTGAGCCCCGGCCAGTTGGCCGGAGGAAGGTGAGATATTAAATTTGATAATGTAATGGGGTGTATAGCTTATTGTTGTATAGTTTTTTGTTTTGGGAAACACATGATAAAAATAGTGAATTTTAGCAGGAAAGAGTATACATTTCAAAGGAAAATATTTAGCATAACAAATCATTTATTATTTAAGAGACAAAGATTATATAAAATAAAGGCTATTATTTAATAAAAATAATTAAATTATTTATTAATTAACAACAGAGATTTAAAGTGAACAATTTATTAATCCTCCCACTTCCAGTGAGCGAGCTGGTGAAAGTTAGGCAAACACAAATATATAACATTTAATCCACCAACAACTTTCACATATCACAATATTAACACTGAAAAGATAGCAGGACCATGTCCTCTCCTAATAAATTTCTAGTGTGGGCCCCGGCCAGTTGGCCGGAGGAAGGTAGGATGGCAATGGGTCGGGTTGGGTTGGGTTTTGCCAAATTCAAATCCAAATTCATGGGTTTATCCGTGAAAAACATTCGGGGTAAAATCCACTGGGTTTGAAAAACTCAACCCCCTGGGTATCCGCGGGTTCATGGGTACCCACAGGTTTTTGTCTTAAAAAATTTACAATAACAAGTTGCTATCAAAATTAAAGTCAAATATCAATCTGTCAATACAAATTATCCATATATAAAATACCATTCTAGAAAATTCAAGCAAATAACAAATTATCCATAAATAACATGATTAATTGAAAGCTTCTTCCTTTCAATTAAGTTTCTTCACTCTCCACTCGACAACATCAACTTCATTCTACACAATTAGAAAGAAAAAATTAGACATGTCTCCACAAACATAAATAAGATAAGTTGTTTAGAATATTAAATATATCGAGAAAATTAATTATATGGGTGTGGGCGGGTACCCATGGGTCGGGTTTACCTAAACCCAAACCCAACCCGATGAATATTGAACGAGTTTAAACCCAAATCCGGCCCAAAACCCGTCAACACGGATTTTACCCGTGTTGACCGAGTTGGGTAGGGTGGGTACACGTGGGTTCGGATTTTGTTTTCATCCCTAGAGGAAGGTGAGGTATGAAATTTGATAATGTAATGGGGTGTATAACTTATTGTTGTATAGTTTTTTTGGGAAACACGTGATAAAAATAGTGAATTTTAGCAGGAAAGAGACATTAATGATGCAACAAATCAAAAATCGGCCTTATGAACCAAAATCAAGTACCTATTACCTTGTGAAACAATATTGTTTCTGGTAATATGATGAGGTGGAGTAAGTTTTATAGAAACTGAATTCCAGAAAATCGAATAAAAAATCGCCTATCCCGTCGGTTTTCGGGAAATGAGCATCTCACAATCGTTGCTAGCTTTTACTCGGCCCGTTGGCCGATTAATTTGGTTTATAAAACTTTCATCTTGTCGTCATTGTGCTTTCTGGTTTTTTTCAGGCTATGATAAAATCTAAGGAAATAAAGAACGAACAACACGATTTGGAATAGGAACCGTCGTTGTCGTATCCCTAGAAAATGGTGGTAAACACGGACTCACCTGCCAAACTGGTTTGGATTGAGATTTTTATCGGGTATCAGGGAACCATGTGATTATAAATTAGACTTGACCAAAAGAGGCCAAAACTTGAAATGCAGCCTGTTTGACCGACCCATGCCAAATTCTAATTATTCTTTACTTTTAAACTTTTTATTTGAAAATAAAAAATAGTGAAAGAAAAGAGATGACTGCCATTTGCACATCACTTATTCGGGAATAAAACCATAGAAATTCAAAAGGAACTGAAAATGTTAGGATCGTTTTAATGTTTAAAATAACCAAATAGATCTTTCTGTTTAGTTTTTTACTAACAAATACCAAACGATTCCCTATAAAATACACTATGATTTGATCATTATGATATCAAATAATTATATAATATATATTTGAAATGATAAAAATTGGACTAATTGGGTTGGTCGAGGTTGAATGAATAACTTTAAAATACATTATATTTTAGCCACTAAGATATAAAATAACAGCATAATATATTATGCCAGAGAAAATAGCTTGTTTTAGAATGTCAAACCAATGATGTTCATTTGTTTTACTTGATGGCCAAATCCCGTGTAGGTCAAACTAATTCAACTCTTTTATTTTATGGTTAGCGGTTAGCCCATTAGATTCCATGCATTAGTTTATTGTTAAATTTTTTATTTTTAGCAATAAAAAGAAGTATTATTTTTGCCTCTTCATATATATTTTATCACCACGGAGAAATAAAAGGGCTTAATGAAAAAATTGACACTCTTGAACCCGTTTAAATCCGCATGTGTACGGTAAGTTGGCCCGTTCCACAGAGGAAAGAGGAAAAAATTGACACTCCCTATTCTATCATTCCTACAAACGCTCCTGGAGCAGGAAATTTGAAATGGGGGAAGGGTTTTTTCCTCTTTGCTATTATATCTTTTTAATTTAAAAAGATGCAACAAATGTACTTAGTGTGATTTGTTATGATCCTTACTTTTCCTTAAAATGGTCATGGTTTGAATCCCACTACGTGTCTTTTTAATGAATTAAAAAAAGTAAGTGTGAAGACCAAAATGTCCTTCCTACTTTCACTCTCGTTGCAGGAAATTTGAAATGGGGCTCCCGTTTTTCCCTTCGGTGTATTATATTATGTGTAGATTCGTCTTGTCTACCTGTGTATTAACATGATTATCTAGAACACCATTGAGCCCTTTTTTACACAGCGTTCAGTGGTAATACCATTGATATTGAACTTATACGCTGTTAGTATTGTGGTATATGATTCACGATTGAACCTCTTCCAACAACTCGAGTTATTGGGATCAACTGGTTCTTGACATGGTATCAGAGCCTTCTGTGACCGAGAGGTCTTGTGTTCGATTCCCGGTGACCCCATTTGTTAAGCACATGGTATTCTTGACTTCAGACCTGTGCAAACTTCAAGCCCTTATGAGTGACTTTCGTTTGAGGGGGCGTGTTGGTGTTGTGGTATATGATCCACGATTTAACCTCTTCCAACAACTCAAGTTATTGGGATCAACTGGTTCTTGACATAAGCCTCAAGTTCGAAAAAAGAATTGTTTATAAATAAAAAAAAGAATTGCATTTTTTCGTTAGAAAAATCTCTTTCTGCATTTGCCGCTACAGAAACAATAAGTCTTGCTCTGATGCTAAGTCAGACATATCAGAATTTGATAGTAAACAAAACAGAGAGACTCAATTTACATAGTATCCCTAATTATAAGGCTAACTTCCACGTCAAGGTACCAAATACTCTCTTGCTACTCATTGATATCGACTTGATACCAAACAACCTTCACCAGCAAACCCTACTACGTCCGAATCCCCATTCTCATCATGGGCCCATAATAATGCCCATGCACCTACGTAACCGACCAACCAATAAACTCATGGGCCATATACGTTTACGATGTCGTGGACTAGTGAACATGAACAATTGGCCCACTATTATCTAACACATATAATATCGATCTCTTTATATCATGTTGAGTAGTGGCGGACCCAGAATTGTCGGAGAGGTGTGTCGCCGATAAAATAAGATAATAATTAAAAATTTAATGGAAATTTCTAGATATTACTAGAAATTAATTCATAAAGTTTACAATGTCATTTTTACAACGAACCACGACAGCTTTTCATGTCCTAAAAATGTCTGTAAATACATTCATCGTTTATGTTGCAAAGCAAATCCTTTTCGATATACACAACTAAACAATCATTGATAAATTGGTCACTCAACCGATTTCGAAGTTCATTCTTGATTATCTTCATAGCTGAAAATGCTTTTTCGCAGCTTACAATTGCAACTGGTAAAGTCAAAACCAACTTCAAGAGCCGAGTAAAACTAAAGGATAAGAAATAGGGGGGATGTGGCAGTGGGTCTCTCTCGGTAACTAAAAACTAAAATGGGGTAAGGGTGAGTTTTTTTATTTCAGTTTTTATTTTCAATAAAGGAAGGAGGGGTGGAAACGATGAGTTTCAAAGGATGGGTTTATGTTTATTTTTTCATTGTTGGGTTGTGATGAGGGTTACTTTAAAATAAACATACTTATTTGATTTTACTCATTATTGTTTATTACTAATTAAGATAAATCACTTTATAAAAGCATTCTCGTGTAATGAAGGTGTGTCGCTCACAATTATTAGAGATTTGTCGCAAGTTCCGAATTAAAAAAATTTGTACAAAAAATATATAGGTACTTCACAAAATTTCCGGGCGAGAGTGTGTGAAAAATTTGTATAAACTCATCACGCGCGCAAAACATACTCAAATAAATTGTTAAGTAAAAGAAGAGGCGTGATCATCCCAAAAGGATTCTAATACCTGTTTTTTTTTTTGTCACATTATGCCTATAAAAAACCATTTCAAGAAGTGCATTATGGTTTTATGCTTGTTTTATAAAATTGTACCAAAATCGAACCAGATAAATTAGCTCTAAGATCTTTTAGTGGTATAATCGTGATTCAACCAATAACGAATCAGTGTAATATCATTGTTAAAATAATATAATACATTCAACTAGCATTATACTCGTGAATACAACCTAAAGCGGCCATGTATTACCAAGAGTTGTTCATTTGATTGCGTGAAACTGACTAGCGTTAAGGGCTGGGAATTCGGTCCGGATTTTTCGGTCAAACCGGAAACCGGGCAGTTTAAACCGTCCCGGTTGTAACCGGAAACCGGATTCTCATTAATCCAATCCAGTTTGCGGTCTGAGGTTGAGGGTAAATAACCGCCCCGGTCCCGGTCCAGTTTTACCCGGTTTTAACCGGAAACCGGATAACAGACCCAAACTAAGCCTGACCCAGTGAAGCCCAGCCCAAGCCACACCTCCTTACTGTGAAGCCTGAGACCCATGCCCAAACCCAAGCCCGACCCAGTGAAGCCCAGCCCAACCTCTTTAGTTTTGAAGCCCGAAACCCATAACCCCACCCACAACCCTAATTCCTACAGCCGCCGCTCTCCTCTCCCTCTTCCTCTCTCGATCTTAAACTCAATCTCTCACCCCTCTCACCCACGGCGACGACGACGACGACCTCGGCTGTCTAATCGTCGACTCTCACTCCAGAAGAAGAAGAAGAAGAAGAAGAAGAAGACGAGAGGAGAAGGACTCCGAAGACACAACCCGTCGACGATTATTGATTCCCATCTCGAGCTTTTCTCCGTCGGGTTCTGCATGCGCCAAATACACCGCCGATCTATCTCCTCCAATCTTCCTCACACTCCGCCGCTTTCTTTTCTTGCTTCACCGCTTCCTCTTCTTCGTTCTCTCTCGAGACTATGTTGGCGGAGGCGGCAAGTTGGTGAGTAGCTCTATTGGGCTATTGGCGGAGATGAGGTCGACGATGAAGGGGCAGGGGCAGTTCTGTTCGGAAAAATTCAAGGACGGGAAGGAGCAGCTCTGTTGGCGGAGGCGAGATCGACGAGGATCCAGTGATGACGGAGGTCGGAGAAGACATGAAAAGAAGGGTTGAGATTTTGGGAGGAAGAAAGAGAAGGAAAGTAAATGAGGGTTGAGAGGGATCTGGTGGGTTTCTCTGTGGGATTGGAAATGAAAGTGAGAATTGGAGATGGTTTTTCGGGAGAGAAGGAGGTGAAGAGCAGCTGTCGTTTTGGGAGAAAGGAAAAGTTCCGGTTTTTTGGTTGAAACCGGATCGGACCGGATTCAATCCAGTCCGGTCACGGTTGAAACCGGCTCCCTATCCAATCCAATTTCCGGTTGCTGTCTTGGTCGAAACGGTTTAAAAAAACCGGGTTAATCCGGTCCAGTTTTAACCGGACCAAACCGTTTCCCACCCCTACTAGCGTTCATAATATTTGTATGCCATAATCTAGGCGGTAGATGTTTTACAGTTCAATTGGCGATGAGATTTAACAATCCTTGGTTTGGTTTTATCACATACAATTGATTAATTAGAAAAAAGATCAGGTGTATAACACCTTAATTAGGTACACCTAAAATGCATAACTGGCACATCTCATTTGTTACAATTTGAACTTGATTTTTCCCCACTAGAAAGTCGTCGTGAACGCTTTTAAGTTTTAATCCTCAGGTTTGTTTCCTAAAAACTCGACATTAGTCAAGAAAAAAGCCATTGACTAATACTTAAATATCAACACCGGATGCTATACCAAGTTTTTTGGTTATTACGCGTGAACATCCCCACACATACCGCTTAAGTGATGGTGGAGCGAGACAAAATCTTGGGGTTAACTTGTTTGAGCCCTCCACAAAACTTCTCATTAAATGTCACCAGGAAACATTATAGCAGGCCTTGGCGAGTCGAATACGGGATCTTGTTTACACCTAAAATTATTTTTGATTCAATTAAATGCCGTATTAATGAGTTTCGACATTTAATTCGATACGGCGGATAAAAAACAGTGTCGTTTGGAGTTTAGCGGCATCGCGGAGAGTTAAAACGACACTTCAAAGAAGCTCAACGGTACCGTGGCACTGGAAATGACACTGTTTGCCGGAGAACAAGAGGTGTGCCGCATGGTTAGTGTTGGTGTTGGAAAAGGATTTTTATTATTTATTCCTTGTCGGAAGGGGAGAAGCGATACCGCGTGGAAGCAAGCGGCATCGCGGAGAAGTAAAACGATACCGCGGATTTAAAAACGGTACCGATGTGCTAGCAAACGACAGTGTTTAAAATATTTAAACAATGTCGCGAAAGGAAAAGCAAACGAAGCCATTTTGGGGAAGGAAACGATACCGCGAGCAAGCCCAACGACACCGCAAGACGGAGAAAAACGGTACCGTTTGGTAGAGAACAATGTCGCGGAATGAAAAACGACATTGTTTGATGGGACCGGGACGGAGCGGTTCAAGGTCGGCATCGATTTGTGAAAAGCGATGCCGCGGAAAGATTAAACGGTGCCGAGGGATGAGAATACAATAATGAGCCGGTTTAATTAATTAATCTTTTTAATAATTATTTTAGACGGTGTTGTTTGGCTGAAAACAACGCAGCGAGAGAAAACAACACCGTGGATTAGAAAACGACATTGTTTAATATAAAACAATGTCGTGGAGTAAAAAAGCAGATAGAGTTGTTTCGGAAAGAAAACGACATCGCGTGAGACCCAACGATGTTGCATGGTAAACAATTTCAGCGATCAAAAATGCCGCAGAGTTAAACGATGTCGTAAATTCAGTTTGTGAATTTGACAGTGATGCGAGCTCAACGACATCGCGATGGGTAACAACACCGATCTCAGCGATGTCTTGAGGTTAGTTATGCAATGTCCTGAGTCCGACAATGGCGTGGAGTTTAATTACCAACACCGTTGCAGGTCTTGCAAGGGCACGATTTCAATTAATAATGCGATTTTGTTAATAATTTCGTGGCTCAAATCCATGACGGTATTGCGGCCATGAAATAACAACGTCGCGGTTCGAATCGCGATACCGGCCCTGGGCTTAGGTACTTCACACGTGTGTCTCATGTGGATAAAAGTGGAGGTTGGAGATGCAGTGTCGGCAGTTTACAACGGTGCAGCGACGAGTTGTTCTTTCACGTAAGATTCACGCCAACTAGAGCGAGGAGGAGATCAAGGCGGTTGAGACACGTGGGAGTTCACCACGAAGCAGTTGGGGAAGCGGTTTCACGGAGCGTGAAGACTACGAAGATGCTTTTCGAATAAAAGCACCAGAGCAAGGAGAGAGAAAGGACAACAAAAAATCAACACAAAACAACTCTGTCAAAACTTTACCTTTTCTCTGTAACTCCTTCGCGGAGCTCTCCTTCTAGTAAGGATCTCCATGGTTGGTAGAAGTAGTCGTAGTCGCGGAGCTCTCCACAGGAATCTCCATAGGAGTAGTCGTAACGTAGATTCCCCAAAACTCAAACACCCTCGTTCGAACGTAGTTTGGAGAGGTGCGAACCGTAGTAACGGTCGCGTTGGTTAGAAGTCAGAGCTGCATCGATTAGATCAACATCGCCCGGCGGTGGATATTTGACGATCGTCATCATTTTCAGAAGTCAGTTGCACTGATCAAATCAACACCCCCGGTGGATATTTGACGGTCGTCTCAATTTCAGCAATCAACTGTGCATCAGATCAAACGGCACCGCAAGGGTTTCCACCGCGAAACATAAAATCAACATCGCCCAAAACAAATTCGGCACCGGCGGTAGTATTTTGTTTTCTCGGGAAACAAATCTGCAACTTTTCGAAATAAACGCCCAATAAGAATTTCACCGCTAGATTATATCGACCTTTGCCGACGCTTAATTATAACTAATCGCGTATATAATTTTTTCGCGAAATTTACAATTAGACACAGTTTTTTTTTATGGTAATGTTTTTTTTTTTTGTGAATTCTAGAAAAGTGGGTTCAGCATGCTTTTCCGCCGACGGATTTTGCCAAAGTTTTCTAGAGCAACGCGCTAAATCAAAATAGATCACATGATAGCATTCATGCTAGATTGTAACTAACACAACTAATCAATCTGAAAATACTATTAAGGGAACATTAGTAATTCATTAATCTGCTAACCCAGTTCCATAGAAAGACGTACAATACGTATTAGAACAATGCCAAAACCTGCAATAATGAAATCGGCCGGCCGACAGAAGAAAGAAGAACATCCTCAATCTAGCCCAGCGGCATATTCTGAGACATGTTTTCTTCCCATAATTCAACAGAAGCTGTATAGCTCATAGCGGACGCAACAGTTCTCCGACAAGGCCTGAACTCCCGAGGTGCCGTAACAGTTGTCTCGTACGATCTGGCCCGCGCCCTTCAAGCACTCGTAGCATCCCTCGCGGTCATCGCCCCTCCTGCACGACGCGTAGCTATACAGCGTAATGCTGCTGCTAGTACGACCACGATCCTCGAAACTAGTGCCCTGCCGGTCGCACAAACCGGAGTGATTGGTCGAGAACATGTTGTACAACTTGTTCTGTATGGAGCTCAGCACGTGGTTCTGCGCCTCCGATGAATTCCGAGGCAAGACTTGGGTGTTGCAACCGTAGTAATAGAGGCCGCCAGTGAGGCTCCTTCCGTCCGGTGGACCAGTGCACATCGGATCATAGCTGCGAGCAGCGGCAACGTAGGCTGTAGAAGTAACGGAGACGCTTGTAATCGCCACGATCAGTAGTCGGACCACTGCCAACCGGTTCTTAGACATTTTGGGGGGATTTGTTTTTTGGTTTTTTTTTAATGTATGAAATAAGGTGAGTGTAACGAGTTTCAGATGAAAAGCAACATCACAATATATATATAGTCGGCAGACACACACACATATATAGTCGGCAGACATAAAATATGAGAGCCGGCCGGCTATGGAATAAGTTGTGCGTTAGATGTTGCGAACAGCCGAACATGAGAGGCTAGGTACGTATTAGTTGTCATAAACCAGTTGGTCACAATAACTCGAGTTGTTGGGAGAAGGTTATGCTGAATCTTATACAGGCCCGTGTATGGTGTTTAACCACTTCCTTACACGCCCCCTCAAACGAAAGCCGACTCATGGGCTTGAAATTTGCATAGGCCCGTCATACCATGTGCTTGAAGACAACGGTTAATATTGGGGGTCGTCAGGACTTGAACACGTGACCTCAAGGACAAACCAGCTCTAATACCATGTCAACAACTCGATTGAACCTCTCTCAACAACTCGAGTTATTGGGACCAAGTGGTTAGTTCGCCAACATTAGTGATGAGCGGGACAGAAATGGGTACTCATAACAAGCGTCGGTTAGGTTGGATAAGTGGTATAGGTAGGATAAGTCAACTCATTCTCATGTGTTATTTGGAAAAATGAATGAAAAATTTTATTACGAAGGGAGAACATTATATGTTTGAAAAATAGTGATGATAGAATGGGTAATTCATTCTAACAAGTGAAAATATCGAGCCTTGCACTTATTTAAAGTTTGATATATGGTAAGAAAACGATTGAAGAAAAGACAAAATCGAAGAAATACAAATAAATATTGAGACAAATTGAAATATGATGGGTCAAGAACGGGGCGGGGTTGGGGCAAGACAGATGGAAGCTGATAGTGTCACATGTCCCACCTCATGCTATTGTGGATTGGATGATACCCGCTTCAACTCGGGTCGAAACCGACGAAACAGGATCAAATTACCATCCCTAACTGCCAGAGGAGTGAAGAAGGAGGGGGTAACTGTCGACAAGGGAAAGAAGGAGAAGTACGTACCCTAGCAAACTATATATAGTCTACTGCATGTCTCACCTTTTTATCGTCTAATGCCAAACCAATGCCACGACCGACTTTTACACTCCACATTTCGGACGGTAACTTATGCCGATGCATGTCCATGGATTTATTTCATACACATCATCCGGCATGATCCATTTTATTTCATAACTCAATTGTTGATCACACACTAGAAAGACTGCTGTGTCATTTCAATTATTTGTGACATCACCCACAAAATTCCCATCCAATCAAGACAAAAAATAGGACCAAACCCCCTACCGCCTTCCGAATTCTTCGATTGTAATTTTGGTGCGCAAGATGAAAAGGCCAATTTTTGTGGGGAGGGATTTATTCGGCAGCTCTCTACTGAATGATTTGAACCATGGTGAATGGCTAAAAGTATTTTGTGCAACGAGGACCTTATGTATGGGAATTTTTTTTTTTTGCGACGGGACGTATCGTCACTAAAATCCTTGTACTGCAATGGATTAGCTTTGTCGCCGAATCTTATCGTTTAGCGATAAAAATGTCATCGCAGGAATGGCCTTCTGAGACGAATAGTATTGCCGCAGAATTGTTATTCTTTAGCGGCGAACAATACATTAGGCGACGAAGCACCATTTATTGTCGCCAATCCTATGGCGGCGCATAAGAAATACCTTTGCCGCGACCACCAACATCGTCGCAAATCCTTAGGCGATGGATATGTCGGCTTGTGGCCACAAAATCTTTCCGTTGCAATTTTTTTTTTTTGTTTCTTGTAGTGAAGATTTGTAAAATATGTTTGTCGCTTGTGTGAATCAAATTTTTTTCAATTACACAGCTATACCCATCATTCATAAATCGACTCTTATCAATTTCGCAGTAAGAAAAGGCTCTTTCGCAGCTTGCAATGCAATAGGTAAAGTTAATACGAACTTCATATGTTGAAGCTAGAACGGGAAGCTGGAAGGGCGGCGACATATGTCAACATGGAAGTTAACATTGTAATAATGCAGAGATGATAACATTCACAAGTGACGTACTATCTTGATTCACTACAAGAAAAACAGTATTTTGTAACAAAAAATTTCAGTCACCAAATACGGTTGAGATTCTGAGCCATAATCAATGACGTTGTTGAGGAGTAAAGCTTCTGGTGCTGGTCTCTTCTTCTTCTTCTCTCTTTCTTCTTATTTAGTAACCTTTCCTAGAAGCTATATATGTGTGTGTTTATGTGCCGGCAGTGGTATCCATTTTGGCACTTTAGGTTAAGAATGTGAGACAGATAAAGGAATTTAGTGAGACGAAAAAGAAAGGCTTCTCGTCATATAATAATGAGCTAGGAAGACATATACAGATAGGGAACTCTTTATTTGAAAGGGATTAATGTCTCTAAACTTGTATGAGCCAACTTGGAAATCTGAGAGCCCAAAGTGCATAGTGAGTTGGATCTTTGCTTGCATAGTTCGGACATATAATATATATGTTGATGTGACTTGAATCGGACTATCAGCCGCTACGACTGGTAGTCGGGGGTCCAGGGGCAACGCTTATGGGCTCAATGTTATTTGGGTTCGGGTTCTGGGCCTGGTCTGTAATCGTTTTCTTTGCCAGATTGGATTAGGTTTAGACCCATATGGAGAAGTACTATAAATACTTCTCATACTCCTCTACAATCTGTAATCTCCTCGATATAGTGAAACTGGTTCTCTCTCGCCTGTGGACGTAGCTAACACGCATCGTGTTAGTGAACCACGTAAATCGTGTGTCTGTGTTTTTTTAAATCTCGCTTTCGTATTCTTGCTTTATCGATTCCGGCGATTTCCCGATCCGTAGCAGCGCATTTATAACAAGTGATATCAGAGCCTGGTTGGAAATCAGGCTAGGGTTTTTTTTTTATTCAGAAGAATGACGTCGGTGAACATGAAGATCGAAAAGTTCACGGGGAAGAACAGCTTCGCTATATGGCAGATCAAGATGCAGGCTTTATTAAAACAACAAGGGCTGTGGGGGCCGCTGTCTGCGAAACAGAAGAAGGCAGCGGTCGATGACGATGAGTGGAATACCCTGGAGGAGAAGGCCAACTCGACCATCATGCTATCGTTGTCTGATGACGTCATCATTGAAGTCGCTGCTGAGAAGACTGCCGCGGGCTTGTGGTTGAAACTAGAGAGTCTATACATGACTAAGTCTCTAACCAACAAGATGCATCTCAAGCAACAGTTGTCAGCTTGAGGAACGCCTTTGAGGGAACATCTCGAACAGCTTAACTCTATTTTGCTGGATCTGCGTAATATAGATGTTCAAGTTGATGACGAGGATGCTTCCCTAATCCTACTGGTTTCTTTGCCGAGTTCATATGAGAATTTTGTTGATTCTTTTATTGCTGGAAAAGAAAGCGTGTCGTTGGAGGATGTCATGTCTGTTCTTCATACGAGAGAGATCAGGCATAAGGCGTCTGGATCTGGTACAGGTGGTGAGGCATCGAGTTTGGCTGTTACAGGTGGAAAGGGAAAGAAGAAATCTGGTAAAGGGAATTTGAACAAGAATTCCAAGGGTCCCGGTCCACAGCCAGGTGATGCTTGTCACAACTGTAAGGAAGTGGGGCATTGGAAGTACAATTGTCCCAAGAGAAGAGGGCAACAGAAGAAACAAGGTTCAATTGCCGTGGCAGAAGTGGACAAAAGTTCTGAAGACGATCTCGCCTTGGCTGTAGATGAGAAGTCACATCGTGGGGATGTGTGGTTTCTGGATACTGCACCCTCATACCATATGTCTCCGAACAGGGATTGCTTCACAACCTACGAGCAGATAGATGGTGGTAATGTGGTCATGGCAAATGGAGCTGTTTGCAAGGTTGTTGGAATCGGGTTCATAAAGGTTTGGGCACATGATGGTTCGTTCTGTACCGTGAATGATGTCAGGCATGTTCCACGAATGACAAAGAAACTGATCTCCTTGAGTCTACTCGACAGCAAGGGTTTCAGTTTCAAAGGAAAAGGTGGAGTTGTGTATGTCTGCAAAGGTTCAAGGAAGGTGCTGAAGGGCGTGATGAAGCGTGGGACCTTGTATGCATTACAAGGGTATGTGTTGTCTGGTTCTGCTGCAGTTGCATCGTCTCAGGTTCATCAGGAATATATGACCACACTCTGCCACATGAGATTGGGGCATATGAGTGAACAGGGGATGCAAGTTATGTCGAAGAGGGATCTTCTTTGCGGGCACAAGGTGCAGAAGTTGGAATTCTGCGAGCATTGTGTGTTTGGGAAGTTGCTTCGCATCAAGTTTCCCAAGAAGGGTATCCACCGGACGAAGGGGATACTAGATTACCTCCACTCTGACTGTTGGGGTCCTTCACGAGTTGAATCCATTGGAGGCAGCATGTATTTTCTGTCTATTATTGATGATTATTCGAGATTTACTTGGATTTTCATGATGAAGCAGAAAAGTGAGGCTTTCACGAAGTTCAAGTAGTGGAAGACATTGGTGGAGAATCAGACTGGGAAGAAGATCAAGAAGCTGCGAACGGACAATGGTCTGGAGTTTTGTAATTCTGAGTTCAACGAATTCTGCAAGGATGAAGGGATTGCCCGTCATCGGACTGTGAGAGATACACCCCAGCAGAATGGCGTTGCAGAAAGGATGAACCAGACATTGTTGGAGAGAGCACGGTGCATGCTCTCTAATGCTGGACTAGAGAGAAGATTCTGGGTAGAAGCAGTGAACATGACGTGCTTCCTGATCAACCGTGGACCTCACACATGTATCGAGTTGAAGACTCCTTATGAGGTGTGGTATGGTAAGCCTGTTGATTACTCTTCACTGAAAGTTTTTGGGTGTCCTGTTTATTAACATGTGGATGAGGGTAAACTGAACCCAAGGGCAAAGAATGGTGTATTTGTGGGTTACGGAGATGGAGTTAAGGGATTTCGAGTCTGGTCACCTTCTAAGCATCGAGTTATACTCAGTAGAAATGTGATATTTGATGAGAAGTCTATGTTTAACCTCATGTTGAAGGTTACTGTTGTTGAAGGTAGCAGGAATGTTGATAAGCAGGTGGAGCTGCAAACTCTCAATGAGAGTGAGTTTGAGCACCAAGGTGGAGAAGATCAACATGAGGATGTTTCTACAGAGCCAGAAACTTCAAAGTCCAGTGCAGGAGCTCAACAGTCTATAGCTTCCGGTAGACCAAAGAGAGCGACTGCAGGAGTACCTCCAGAGAGGTATGGTTTCGAGGACATGGTGGCGTATTCATTTCAGGTTGCTGAAGAAGTGGATGCAGGTGAGCCACAGTCCTATAGAGAAGCCGTTTCGGGTGGCGAAGCTGATCAGTGGCTTGCCGCAATGGGAGATGAGATGGAATCCCATGACAGGAATCAAACTTGGGAGCTAGTCAAACGACCACAGGGAAAGAAGATTGTTACAAACAAGTGGATCTACAAGAAGAAGGAAGGAATCACTTCTAAAGAGGGCATGAAATTTAAAGCTCTGGTGGTTGCACGAGGCTTCTCGTAGAGGGAAGGAGTTGACTACAATGAGATTTTCTCACCAGTGGTCAGACATACTTTGATCAGAGTGCTACTAGCAATAGTGACACATTATGACTTGGAGCTCGAGCAGCTAGACATGAAGACAAATTTCCCACATGGAGAGTTGGAGGAAGAAATTTACATGACTCAGCCAGAAGGATTCCAGGTTCCGAGAAAAGAAGACTATGTTTGTAAGCTGAAGAAGTCCTTGTATGGACTTAAGCAGTCTCTGAGGCAGTGGTACAAGAGATTGGACAGTTACATGCTTGAGCTGGGCTACAACAGAAGTCCATATGATTGTTGTGTGTATCACAACAAGGTGGAGGATGGTTCGATGATCTATCTTGTTCTGTATGTGGATGATATGCTCATAGCCGCGAGGTCGAAGTCTGATATCCAGAAGTTAAAGGGGCTTCTCAGTGTTGGGTTTGAGATGAAGGATTTGGGAGCTGCTCAAAAGATCTTGGGTATGGAGATTTACAGCGACAGGTCAAAGAAGAAGCTTTTCTTTTCACAGAAGAGCTACATCCATAAGATACTATCGAGGTTTGGCATGTCTTCAGCAAAGCTCTTAAATACTCCTAGTGTTTCAAATGTTCATCTATCCTCAGCTTATGCACCGCAGTCAGAAGCTGAGAAGGAGTACATGTCGAGAGTCCCATATGCTAGTGCAGTAGGTAGCTTGATGTACGCTATGGTATGCACTAGACCTGATCTTGCACATGCTGTTAGTGTTGTCAACAGGTTTATGATACAACCTGGGAAGGAGCATTGGCAGGCTGTGAAAAGGATCTTCCGGTACCTTAAGGGTACACCTGATGTGGGGATTAGCTTCGGAAGTGATACAAAGTGCTTGGTGTCTGGGTATTCTGACTCGGGCTATGCTGGAGATGTTGACACGAGGAGATCGATGACCGGTTATGTATTCACTCTTGGGAGTTCTGTAGTGAGCTGGAAGGCAACTTTGCAGTTGGCGGTAACATTATCTACTACTGAGGCAGAGTATATGGCGTTGACAGAAGCTGCTAAGGAAGGAATATGGTTGAAGGGACTGGTTGGTGATATGGGTCTACATCATGATCAGGCAGTGGTGTATTGCGACAGTTTGAGTGCAATATGCTTGGCCAAGGATCAAGTCCACCATGAGAGGACTAAGTACATCGACGTGAGGTATCATTTCTTGAGGACAGAGAAGAGGATTAAGGTGAAGAAGGTTGGCAGTTTGGCACCGAGGATAATCCTGCTGATATGTTCACGAAGCCAGTTCCACATGGCAAGTTCCAACACTGCTTGGACTTGCTGAATGTCTTGAGTGGGTGACTCCGCCCTGCGGGGCATTGATGGCGGGAGAGAGAGAGGAGCAGAGAACATAAGAGATTTCAGAGGAAGAGAATTCAAGTCAAGGTGGAGATTTGTTGATGTAACTTGAATCGGACTATCAGCCGCTACGACTGGTAGTCGGGGGTCCAGGGGCAACGCGGCCACGGTGTATGGGCTCAATGTTATTTGGGTTCAGGTTCCGGGTCTCGTCTGTAACCGTTTCCTTTGCCAGATTGGATTAGGTTTAGACCCACATGGAGAAGTACTATAAATACTTCTCATACTCCTCTGTAATCTGTAATCTCCTCGATATAGTGAAACTGGCTCTCTCTCGCCCGTGGACGTAGCTAACACGCATCGTGTTAATGAACAATGTAAATCGTGTGTCTGTGTTTTTTCGATTCTCGCTTTCGTATTCTTGCTTTATCGATTCCAGCGATTTCCCAATCCGTAGCAGCGCGTTTATAACAATATATATGACTTATTTAATTAGCAATGACCATTGCAGGTTGCTTGGTTATGGGAGTATAGATTGAAAGGAATGGAACTGATCTAGTCAGTAACTTCAAGACCTAGCTAGTTCCTAGATTTGACAAAAATGCTTAACCACGGTTTCTCTATACAGTGGTTAATAGTAGTGGCTATCGTAAATATAACGCTAGTCAACAAATGTCGGCCTAAAGTATTGAGCCACAACGGTGTTTGGACAGAGCTTTTCTACATGTGTGTGCAGTGTGCCGACAGTGACATCCATTTTGGCACTTTAGGTCACGAAGAGTCGAAGACGAAAACTGAATTAGAGTTGGGGTTTCTTTCCCAGCCACACTAATTTGCCTTTCGTTTTCAATTTTCGATCTTCTTTTTCAATTTTTTATATTAAACAGAACAGTCGGAGGGGAAAAACCGAGCGACCGGTTCAAACGGTTCGAGCGGTTAACTGCCTTGACCGCTCCATAAAACCGTAGCAGCTAAATGACTGGCCCGAGCCGGTTTTGTGCCCGGGTGACGACTTTAGCGGTCCGGCCGACCGGCTCGGTCCGATCTTAATAACACTGATTTATAGGTCTGGCGGCCGGCAGAGGTTGGTTAGAAAGCATTTCCTTCTTGATAAAGAAAGCAATTGGAAGCAAATCCAAGCTAAGGAATATTAGGTGGCCGAGGTTGTCTCATTAGAAAAGATGGCCGAGACCTAGGTTCTCTTAATACTAACGATAGTAACTACATTCATTAAAAAAGAAGAAGATGTATATGATAGTTATTAGCAATAATGCTCAAGTTTGTTCGTAATTATTGACGTGACACAAAAACCTATATCATCGTTATAATTAAAAAAAATTATTGACGGGACACACTATTAGCTTTGGTCTCTGTATATATATTAGGGTTGGCAATTTGGTCCCGGACTGTTTGGTTTTACCCGAAACCGGACCGTATAACCCAGACCGGGACCGGACTGGGACCGGATAGCAAACAATGCAATCTCATATTCGGGCTTAGATTTGAGTTAAAAAACCGGATAAGAGACCCCCAACACCTAAAATCAAGATAAAATTGGGACCGGACCGGATCAAGACCGGACTGTATCCAATCCAATTTTTGGTCCTTATATTCTCGAAAAGATCGGACCGGGACCGGATTAATTTGGTCCAATTTAACCGAACCGGACCGTATAGCCACCCCTAATATATATATATATCTCATATCCTCTCTAGCTAGTTTACAACGAATCAGAGAGAAAACATATATAGATCGAGATCTGTGAGAAATGGCCGGTTACTCAACCATGGCGGCGGTGGTGATGATCATGGTAGTACTACTGCTACTACCACTTCTCCACACAGCTATGTTCAACAATATGATCGTCTCCGTCGCCGGTGATCTCAACCCAATGTGTGGCTCCGACGAGCTTGTCTACTGTAGTCAGGCGGGCGACTTCGCCGACGGGCTAACCCAGCGTGCTGTGATGGTTGAGATCATCATGCTACCGTTTTGCTACAATTACTCTCACGGCGTGGATGGGTACGTCTACCAGTACTCGGACTGTGTGGTGAAGTATAAACATGATGCCGACAAGAACGACTTGTACTGCTACAACTGTTTGGCCAAACTGGCTCAACAGATCCAAGACATTTGCTACAACAAGGTTGGAGCACGATATGGAACGGAGGAGTGTTGCATGAGGTATGAAACGTACCCCTTTTGTGAAAGTTAAAAACAAATCAATGTTGAATCAAGAGATCGAGTTGATTGGTTACAATATGCTACGATACACCGTCTGTTTAACTAATTGCGAAGGTGTTGTGTTCGGATCCTCAAGGTTGCGTTACTCAATATATAGTAACGGAATAATGATGATGATGATCCAAGATCTATAATTTCGTGTGTTGATGGTTGATTTGTATAGCTTGTGCAAAGTTCAACTACCTCCACTAGCTAGCACAGCACAAACAATTTGCAGGCAACGTGTGTTTCTTGAACATCGAAACTAATATCAGTGTGAAATGTCAAAAATCCCACGTAGTCTCTGAAACGTTGAAAGAAGAAAATGTTGCAAAATCAGAAATAGGCCTGAAACTCTTGTATTATTACCGAAATAACATAGGGTTTATATAGAGTACTTCTATAATAACTCTAACACTAATAATGAAATTATCTAACTTTTACAACTCTGATAAGGAATATAACGCTGACCAATTACATAATAGTACTCGTAATATAACACAATGCTTATCGTACTACACATACTTTAATACCCTCCCCCAAATTGATGGTAATTACTTACCAACAATTTGAAAACCGAACAAATTACTACGAACAATGTGACAAATAAAGATGAAAAACATAACTACTCCGCAAAATATGCACCCTAACTTGAGTCATAGCAACAGGTCGGGAGACCAATATTCTAGAAACCGAATCGTTAGTCGGTCGAATAGAAAATATTGGATATAATATTTCAAATTGATAAGCAGTTTTGACGATTGAATAATGGTCAAGGTGTGATTTTAGTGTTAAATATCATATCACTTACTTTCTAACATAATTTTTAGTACGGTTTCACAATCTTTGTTGAGACGAAGGCACTCTTCACCAGCACCAGCTTCACAATGCACACCCTCGTCAACAGTTTCTGTTGAGGAAATGGAACCGCAAGCAGCCAAGACTTCGTATCTATTTTATATTCTCTTTTAAGTCAGTCAATCAGTAAATAATAATAAAAACGAAGATAGTCGAAATTGAAATACCAATTTCCCGTTCTTTCGTCATTTTGTATCTTTCCAAAAGGTTTCCTACTCAACGAAAAAAAATTCTTAGCTCCAACTTTGATTGGATGCAGAAGCTCCAACCAGCTTCTTCAGCCGCCTGCAATGGTATAATCGTGGATTCCCAAGTGGATACGATTGCCGAATAAGCTAAAATTCGACCAGGAAAGCAAAATGGAATAATAAAGCGAAAATGTTGCCGGCCGGCCGGTCTGATTTAACAGCTCATTTACCACATTACGTTACGTATCCAAACTTGTGTACGTTATAATGCCCTCTGCTCCACCTCCATAACTCCGCAGCTCTTTCAGGGAATATTGCCGATTTCACTCCACTCCACCGTCAGGTTTCCTCAACGTTTCGGACTCGATCGATCATCGTCAATCTCATAACGCTAGCTAGCTGCATTCTCCGTCGTCTGTGATCAGTATAATTAGTTGATCGATCAACTTTTCAAATCATCAGATACAGAGAATCAGAAAATAATGGTGTTGTTGGTGGGGATGTTCGCTTCTACAACAACATTATTCACTACAATACTAGTATTGTGCTTGCAGCTGCTAGTTCAACCATGTGTTGCTTTCATTGAGATCCCCGGCGGCATCTGTGGTTCCGATTACCAAGACGGAAGTTATGTTGGGTGCGACACGGGCCGCTGCTGCAGCGACACTGGCTACTGCGGTAACGACCGTTACCACTGCGTCACCAACTGTTGGATGCAATGTCATGACGTGGATGGAGGAGTGAGCAGCAGCGGGCAGCGGCTCCATAACATCAGTACCACGATGAATGTAGTGAATGCAACGTACAATCAATACTACGATCCGGCCGGAACGAAGAAGAAGAAGACGATCATCATCAGTGGCTGGGAGGAGGATGATACTAAATCTAGAATATTGACACCTAACTTGAGTCATAGCAACAGGTCGGGCTATGTTTTGACACCTATAGTTGCCTGTAACCATCAGGGGATGGCAATGAGCGGTTTGAGGCGGGTTTCTTTTAAAGAGTCCCATTTTCAAATACTTGAATTCATACCGGACCAGTCTCATACCAATCGGTAAGGTTTTGCAATCCTATCAGCATACTCACAGATTTTGGATATACATAAAGAATACTACGAATTTTGGATATACATAAATAATACTGTCCTCATACATTCAAAATTACTATAAATAAAACTGAACACGTTGAACTAAATAATGGACCTAATAACTTATGAAATTAACAAAGATACAAACATTCTTAATACAATTCAAATTTTCCGATCCTAAAACATTCATCTCCGACAGCGTTACATCTACTAAGCAACAAATAATCAACATAATCTTGTTAAAAGGGGGAAAGAAGTGAAAGAATGAAAGCTGAGAACTTAGGGAAACAAATTAAGTTTTGGTTTGAGTAGTCACTCACTTACAATTCTATTTTTATTTATTTACTCTCACTGTTATTGATATGTTACCATTTTGTGGATCTCTGACCGCAGCCATATATTCATGACGAAGATCCTAAAGCTACTAGTTCTCACAATTACTGACAGCTCTATCTCCGGCTGTAAGGTATATGGAAAATACCCATTTTGTGGATCTTAATGAATTAAGATATCGAAGTCGTTAATAACCATGGAACTTTCCCTTTGGAGTGGTTGTATAAATCAGTGATATAAATATTTGGAACGTGCATGATGCATCAATAATACAACAAGAGGTGAGTTTTGTTGCCTATAACTAGGGGATGGCAATGAGCGGTTTGGATTTGCAGTCCTATCCGCATAGTCGCCGTTTTTGGATATTCATTTATAATACCTAATCCGTATATCCAAAATTACTATATATAAAATTTTACAGGTAGATCATCAATTATAAAGTTAAACGGACCTAATAAATCATGAAATTAATAAAGGTACAATCATTCTTAATATGATTCAAAGCATCAAATCCTAAAACATCCATTCATCCATAAAATATAATACTGATATTCAAATCATTCATCTCTGACTCTGATACATCTGCTAACCAATAAATAACTAACATAATCTTGTTAACAATGGGAACAAAAGTGAAAGAGTGAAGCAAGAATTGAGAGGAAAAATTAGATTTTGGTTGGGCGGTCACTCAATCATAATTCTACTTTTATTTTTTTTAGTCACCCTCACTGTCAATCTGTCATTGATAGGTTACAATTTGATCCCTATAATTTATATATGAAAAAATAATAAACTTAATGGAGCGGGTACGAATATGAGACGGGTACTTTTTGTAAGTTTTACTCATATGCATGTACCTAATCAATGTGAAAATTTTCCCGCATCGGGTCAGGTCGGAGCGATCGAATACCCACAATTGCTAGTTGGATTGCCATTCCTATTATAACATAGAACGTACCCCCAATGCATGCATGCATGGCTCCATGCCTCCATCTAAACAGGATCGATGAGTACTACTTTTTAATTAAAATTTTAAATACATGGTGAAATAACACTAAAAGTTCTTGATTTAAATGTGTTAAATTCTGATTGATTTAGACAAAATGATTAATGCGACCCATTAGTTACCTGATCTCAACCCCTATCCTGAGTGGAGATGAAGCATTAATTGTACGTACCATCTATAAATTAGGGAACTAAGAAAGACAAATATAGACACGAATTATAGCTATGTTTTCGAACTATTCCCATTATATTTCCCATTGGTAGACAAAAGAAAGTAATAGAAAAAGACAGAATTCATTGTTTCATAACAATATCATTATTTTGACGGAGCTAAAAAGAAAGTGATGCCACATCAGGCTTATCTCATAATTTTAAGGAATGCTAATTACCAATGCAATTAAAGGCACGATTCTATGTAAAAGGTGAAAGAAGGTATACGCAGCTTAATTAAGGCGTAAAAGCAATATCTAAAAATGTAAGATTTTAGGCATAGTGGGAAAATTGTTAGTATAATGAAATCGTAGACTTCAAAAGCAATTTTGTGCAGCTTTCTTGTACTAAGCATTTGAACTTTGAAGTAAGAAAAAAAAATCATAAATCTATTTTTCATAAAGGGCTTGCATCACATCTAAAACTGATTTTGTCCAATTTTATGCACCCAAAAGAGTAAAACCGTCGGTTTCAAAGCATCATTGCTAGCTGCCTAGCTATATATAAGGGTCCCTTCTCTTGTATTACCGATGTCGTACTTGTATTGCCTCGTAACACAGACGATGTATCGGAGCATTAATAATAATAAAAAACTCTCGATCAACCTTTATTAACGGTACATTTTTAACAAAAGGGGTACGTCTCGTACCTCATGCAACAATCCTCATTTCCATATCGGGCTCCGACCTTGTTCCAACACTTGTCTTGTATCTCTTGGGCCAGATTGGCCAAACAGTTGTAGCAGAACAAGTCATTTTCTTCGCTATCCCTATTCCTTACACAACCCGAGTACTGGTGGACGTACCCATCAGCGCCGTGATAGTTACCATAGCACGATGGTATTGTGATGATCTCCCCCATCACGGCACGCTGCGTCAACCCATCAGCGAAGCCGCCCGGCGCCGGACTACAGTAGACAAGCTCGTCGGAACCACAGATTGGATTGAAAGCACCGGCGACGACTGAGACAATAAACATAATTGTGTGGAGAATTAGTAGCTGTACCGTCATCACCACCGCCATTGTTAAATAACCCATTTCTCTTCGATCTATTCTCTCTTTGTCAGGTTGTGTTGTTTGTTGAGCTCTATGTATACGTAGACCAATGGGTTGGTTTGGATGTATGTATGTATGTATATATAGTAGTGGGAAAACAAAGATAATAGCGTGTCCCGTCAATAACTACGAGAAGAGATACAAACATGAGCATTATTCTTGATAATAACTATCATGTGCATCTTTTTTATGAATATAGTTACTATCATGCATTAGTATTAAGAGAACCTTGGTGACGACCATCTTTTCTAATGAGACAACTAATTAAGGCTGGAATTAGTTTTGATCAAGAACCTAAAATTCCTTAGCTTGGATTTGCTTCCAATTGCTTTCTTATCATGAAGACAATGTTTTCTTTCCCACTCCTAGAGATATAATATTGCAACAAGTGTTTTGAAAGCAGGATTCGAACCCAGGTCCCTGTTAACTTATATTTATGTGAAACAGGTCCTAACCGAGTGGTTAGCTTAGTGGCCTAAGTTAGAGAGGTTTTTTTTTAAAAGCTTATTGGCCTTACGAAATGGATGATCCTTTTACGTAATAAAAATTAACGTTTTACTATGTAAAGTGTTAAGTCGTTACAGAAGGTTTATGTCAGAACAGAAGCGTGCAATCGATAATCCAAACCAACACGAACGAACACAAGTTTAACGTGGTTCACTAACACAATGTGTGCTAGCTAATCCACGGGCAGGGAGGACAAATTTCACTAATTTGAGGAGAGTACAGGTTACAAACCAAATTCCAAATGGACAAACCAAACAAACTAACCTGACTGACCTTACTATAGACTAGGGTGATGAGGAGTATTTATAGAACTCTTCTCTTAATCCCAAACAGAAAATCAAACACCTTTTCCCAAACATACAAGGAAAAAGGTCAAACAAAGCCCAAACACAAACCCAAACAAAATAGGCCCAAAACACAAAACAAATCCAAATCAAAATTCAAGTCATATTCTAACAATCTCCACCTTGAATTGAATTCTCTCTCAAATACCAGATGTACCAGACTTAACCAAGGTTGCCAGATGTACCCAGACGCGATCCTTATCGCCAAACTCAAACGCGATGCAAATCGTCAAACTCAGACGCAATCATAAAATTGCAAACGCAGTAACTCCTCCAAATCAGCTGTACCAGAATCTCCCCTGCCTCCAAATGCCCCTAAGGGAGGTCAACAACTCAAACCATTCGGCAAGTCCAATCCATATTGAGACTTGCCATTCAGAACCAACTTGCTGCACTTATCACCAACAGAACATGTCAAAACTGAACCTTATAGATTATACAAGGCAACCCGCTTGACACCTTTCAAAATCACCTTAGAACCCTTGTAGACATATATCACTCCACCTTCACCTTTGAAACTGAAACCCTTATCGTCGAGTAGACTCAAAGATATCAGATTCTTAGTCATCTCTGGAATATGCCTAACATTGTTCAATGTGCGAACAGAACCATCATGTGTCCTCATCCTGACGGAGCCTCTTTCAACAATCTTACAGATAGCACCATTGGCCATAGAAACATGTCCTCCATCTATCTGCTCATAAGTTGAAAAACACTCCCTGCTTGGACACATATGATAATCAGCTGCAGTATCTAAATACCACACATCCTGATGACGTACCTGTTCATTCACTGCCAAGGCTAAACAATCTTCAGAATCAGAGTTAGTTTCTTCCGCCACAGCAGCATATGATTCCTTCTTCTCCTGATATTTCTTCAGTTTAGGACAATCAAATTTCCAATGTCCTTTCTCCTTGCAGTAATGACAGATATCATCCTTTAAACCAGCAGAATTCGAATTTGTATTTGCCTTCCTATTACGAGATTGTTGTCTCCTACTACTAGTAGCAGCCAACCCAGATGCCTGATTTTCTGAACCTGAACCATACGCTTTATGTCAAACCTCTCTAGTATGTAGAGCAGATCTAACATCTTCCAAAGACAAACTATCTTTCCCAGCAATAAAAGAATCCACAAAATTCTCATATGACTGTGGCAAAGATACTAACAGAATTAAGGCAGCATCCTCATCATCTATTTTAACATCAATATTACGCAGATCTAGCAAGATAGTATTGAGTTGATCTAGATGATTCCTGAGAGACGTACCTTCCTCCATACGCAAACTGAACAAACGTTGCTTCATATGCAACTTGGTGGTTAAAGACTTTGTCATGTATAGACTTTCAAGCTTCAACCATAAACCCGCACCAGTCTTCTCAGCAGCACCCTCAGTGATGATGTCATCAGCTAAACAAAGCAAGATTGTAGAGTGAGATTTCTCATCCAAACTAATCCACTCTTCTTCATCTATGCTTTTCTTCTTCGAATTTTCAGACAACAGAGCCCACAAACCCTGTTGTTTTAACAGTGCTTGCATTTTGATCTGCCACAAACTGAAACTGTTTCTTCCGGTAAACTTCTCAATCTTCATACTGATAGCAGCCATTCTTACTATCAAACAAACTCCAACCAAACTCCACAAAGCAAAACTTCAGTCCAGCGCCAAATTCCGAAAACCGCAACCAGGCTCTGATACCACTTGTCAGAACAGAAGTGTGCAATCGATAATCCAAACCAACACGAAAGAACACAAATTTAACGTGGTTCACTAACACAATGTGTGCTAGCTAATCCACGGGCAGGGGGGGACAATTTTCACTAATTTGAGGAGAGTACAGGTTACAAACCAAATTCCAAATGGACAAACCAAACAAACTAACCTTAGTGACCTTACTACAGACTAGGGTGATGAAGAGTATTTATAGAACTCTTCTCCTAATCCCAAACAGAAAACCAAACACCTTTTCCCAAACATACAAGTAAAAAGGTCAAACAAAGCCCAAACACAAACCCAAACAAAATAGGCCCAAAACACAAAACAAATCCAAATCAAAATTCAAGTCATATTCTAACAGTTTACATAATGGACGATTCCTTTTTACGTAATGAATATTAATCTCGTGCTATCTAAAGTGTCAAGTCATTAAGAAAGTCTTACGTAACACTTCTAATTTATCTGTTACGTAAGAAATAACTATAATTATGTAACATTTAAGTAATGTATTTGTATATTAGGTAACAATTATAAAAGGTCAATAAGATATTTTTTTGAAGGAATCAAAGACGAATCATTCGTCTGGGCGAATGAGGCACCTATTTTTTTCACCCCACACCCACCCATACGAACCACCCACAGGATAATGGGTGGGTCGATTACGAGTGGATTTGTGAGTTCAACCACACTCAATACTCACCCCTACTTTTACGCCCTTAAGCTTGGTAACTTCTTTCCACTTTTATATAGAATCATGCCTTTAATTGCATTGGTAGCTAGCATTCCTTAAAATTATGAGATAGGATGTGGCATCACTTTTTTTTTTTTTTTTTTTTAGTTTAGCTTCGTAAGAATACTAATAGTATTATGAAATAATGAATTCTGTCTCTTTCTATTATTTTCCTTTGTCTAAAATTGGGAAAGAGAAAGGGAACAATACGTATACATAAGCAGGATGAATTTTAGGTTATTGATCAACCTAATTCGTTGTCATGCTACGTGCGTATAGCAGAAACATTGATGCCGCATCCGGCTTTCCAACCCAAGTTGTCTCATTAGAAAAGATGGTCGTGACCAAGGTTCTCTTAATACTAATGACAGTAACTATATTCATTAAAAAAAAATGTATACGATAGTTATTAGCAAGAATAGTGCTCAAGTTTGTATCTCTTCTCGTAATTATTGACGGGACACACTATTAGCTCTGTTTTCCCACTACAATATATATAGAGAGAGATCATATCTATCCTCTCTCCAATTTACACACACTGCATCCCCAAACAACACATCCTATAACAACGAAACAAAGAGAAAATATATATAGATCGAGATCGAAGAGAAATGGGTTACTCAACCATGGAGGAGGTGGTGACGATGGTGCAGCTACTACTTCTCCACACAGTTATGTTCAACAATACGATGGCCGGTGCTCTCAATCCAATGTGTGGCTCCGATGAGCTTGTCTACTGTAGTCCGTCGGGCGAATTCGCCGACGGGCTAACGCAGCAAGCTGTGATGGGGGAGATCATCATGATACCGTTCTGCTACAATTACTCTCACGGCGTGGATGGGTACGTCTACCAGTACTCGGACTGTGTGGTGAAGTATAAACACGATGCCGACAAGAACGACCTGTACTGCTACAACTGTTTGGCCAAACTGGCCCGAGAGATACAAGGCCAGTGTCACAACAAGGTTGGAGCCCGATATGGAACGGAGGAGTGTTGCATGAGGTATGAGACGTACCCCTTTTGTGAAAGTTAAAAACAAATCAATGTTGAATCAAGAGGTCGAGTTGATTGGTTACAATATGCTACGATAGTACGATACACCGTCTGTTTAACTAATTGCGAAGGTGTTGTGTTCGGATCCTCAAGGTTGCGTTACTCAATATATAGTAACGGAATAATAATGATGATGATGATGATCCAAGATCTATAATTTCGTGTGTTGATGGTTGATTTGTATAGCTTGTGCAAAGTTCAACTACTTCCACTAGCTAGCACAGCACAAACAATTTGCAGGCAACGTGTGTTTCTTGAACATCGAAACTAATATCAGTGTGAAATGTCAAAAATCCCACGTAGTCTCTGAAACGTTGAAAGAAGAAAATGTTGCAAAATCAGAAATAGGCCTGAAACTCTTGTATTATTACCGAAATAACATAGGGTTTATATAGAGTACTTCTATAATAACTCTAACACTAATAATGAAATTATCTAACTTTTACAACTCTGATAAGGAATATAACGCTGACCAATTACATAATAGTACTCGTAATATAACACAATGCTTATCGTACTACACATACTTTAATACCCTCCCCCAAATTGATGGTAATTACTTACCAACAATTTGAAAACCGAACAAATTACTACGAACAATGTGACAAATAAAGATGAAAAACATAACTACTCCGCAAAATATGCGGATGTCAATGAAGACCATGTCAAGAACCAGTTGATCCCAATAACTCGAGTTGTTGTGAGAGGTTCAATCTTGGATCATATACCGCTAACACACCCCCTCAAACGAAAGCCACCATATATTGGCTTGAAGTTTGCACAGGTCCGGACACTATGTGCTTAACAAAAACAAATGGGGGTAACCGGAATTCGAACAGAAGACCTCTCGCTTACAGAAGGCTCTGATACCATGTCACAAAATCAGAAATACGTCGGAAACTCTTGTATTATTACCGAAACAGCATAGGATTTATATAGAGTACAGAGACTGACTTCTATAATAACCCTAACACTAATAAAGAAATTAACTAACTTCTACGACTCTGATGTGGCACCACTTCTCTTTTATGCGAAAACCACTTTTTTTTTAAGCTTAGCTACGTTATGATTTTTTTTTGGTAGTAAGTGAAGGCGCTCAATTTTTTCAATTTTTCTTTTTAGTAAAATAGGGTCATTGTTCCACATTTGGTTTATCTTAAATGAATTTCTGACTACACCGCTAGTAGTATAAGTCAGTTATATGCATATGGAATGCGCATGATGCATCAATAATACAACAAGAGATGAGTTTTGCCGCCCATAAGATTAGAAAGTAGAAACCCAATGCATGCATGCACTACTACTTATGAATATAAAGTTGATTAAATAAAGTAGAAAAAAATTATTTAATCTCACTCTTTAGATTTACGTCCACTCAAAATCAAATTCAATAAACTATATATGATTAAGCACAAATACATAATTAAGGATTATCCATCCTACCCTAGATTGAATGGAAAACAAAGCATTATTCGTACAATCTGTAAATTAGGGGAACTAAGAAAGACAAATTTTGGCATGAATTATAGCTATGTATTCGTATTATTCCCATGACATTTCCGAATGGTGGACAAAGAAAAATAATAGAAGGAGATATAATGCATTATTTCATAATGATTATTATTATGTTTCGTAGCTAAGCTAAAAAAAGGTGATGTCACATCCGGGTATTTCATATTTTCGAGGGAATGCTAGCTACCAATACAATTAAAAGAGTGACTCCATATAAAAGTGTAAACATCTGATAAAATTGTTAGAAATTCACTAATGTCAACATTGTCCTTTCGAATCAACCACCATATTTTAAGGGTGACCAATCACGTTGATAAGCAAATTTGACAAGCTTTTAAAGTAGAATGATTTGTAGACATTCAAAGCAATTTTTGTGCAGTTTTCTTTTACTATTTGGTTCGTGCTTTTTGGTTTTATCCGAAATCGGATCGTATAACCCGTAACGGGACAGGATAATAAACAATCCAATCTCATTTTCGAGCTTAGATTTGAGATTAAAAATCGTTTGGGACTGGATCGAAAATCGGATAAAGACCGGTTAAGAGAGTCCAACACCCAAAACTTAACCAACTCATCGCCCCTTGAGGCCTCAAGCCACTCAAATCCCAACAAGCTCAATCTAAAATCAAAACTGAATTGGGACCGGATCAAGACCAGACTGTATCTAATCCAATTTTTGATCCTTATATTCTTGAAAATACCGGACCGAGACCGGATCAGTTCGGGCCAATTTAACCGGACTAGACCGTATAGCCACCCTTATTAGATACTACTATTAAAGTACTATTATATGAACATTTAAATTTATGAACCAAGTAATATGCTTTATTTTCCATTCAACCAAGTAATTTTTTCGGAAAATATGGTTTTTTTGTTGTATTTTCTGACACTAATGGGGACATAGTTTCCGTTTGGTTTGATATAGGGGATTGTGAAACTTGTTTAAACCAAAAATGTAAGATAGTGTGGATCAAACCTGTAAGCTACATGTCATAAATCTAGTTTAGCTATAAGTAGACTACACATCTGTTATACATCAATGCATTGGCCGAGTCTTATTTATCCAAAAAAGAAATAAGTCGTGTATTTTATGTATTCAACTTCCATGTATTTTACGAATAATGTACACAATTTATGTATTTAACATTTTAATTAATATAATCAAAATATTTTTATATATACTAGTACGAATGGTTTGTATCAAGTATATAGAGACAATTATGATAGGAGATTATTAGCATCTAAAAATGTAAATGAAGATAAAACTATTTGTCTCTAAATATATTTATTGGAAACAAATATTTATGTTTCTTTAAATTTCTTCAGAATCAAATATCCATGTTTCGAATACAAAATTATTTGTCTCCAATTTGATATATACTATTTGCATCTACATTTGTCTCCAAAAGGAATCTGAGACAGAGGCAAATGATTCAAATAACATATTTGCATCGAAAGACATACAGAAGCAAATAATTACCATTTCGATGCAAATAACCCCTGTGTCCGAAGTCTAGTGGTCTTGTAGTGACAATATCTCCATATTATAGACATTGGCGGATCCAGAAATTTTATATAGGGGTGTCCTCTCATAAAAATTAAGTTAAAATAATAATTAAATAATTATCAAATAAGAAAATACCTGACTTGTCCAAAGGAAAACAAAGCACATGACGTGTTTCATACTTTGGAAAAATTGTAAAATACAATCGGTATCCAACAATGTTCTATAAATCTCTCTCGATATATCCTACTAGACTAGGGGAGCCCGTAATTGGGTTTAATCGTTAGCTTTAAAAAATAGCTTTTTACTATTATATTTGAATTTGAAATACAAGAACAAATAAGTTATAGTCTAATGAAAAATATGTTTACTAATAGTAGCATCGACCCAAGTTCAAATGACATAGGCAACCACTTAAATGTTTATATTTACCCATACACAAACTACTATTAGGCGATTATAATCATTTTTCCAAATTTTAGGATTGTCCCCCACCACTTAAATATTTTTTTTACCTATTTGTAAACTACTATCGGGAGTTGAATCATCGCGTTCCTAAATTTTAGGGATGTCCCGGGACACCCTAAAGCCCCATGGATCAGCCACTGACTATAGAATATTCAGATATCATGTCAGGAATAAGTTGATCCCAATAACTCCACTCGAGTTACTATGAGAAAGTTTAATTATTAAGAATAAGTTGATCCCAATAACGCCCTTGTAGAATAATTCACACTCACTACAGGCAAACTAATATATTTTTCTTTATTGATGAGAGCAATACCACCGTTGTAGAATTCTTTGTTTGACCATAATCTTTCTCATTAGTCATTAGTCGCCTCACAGAATCATTTTGCATTAAAACCGATAATCAAATCAGACGCATTTTCTGGGTGAATAATTCATCCCATGTTTATAATGCACCTAAAAGAGTAAAATCATCCCAAAGTTTTTAAGCATCATTGCTAGCTTTCTAGCTATGATATTTAGCAAAATGGTAGCATGATGATCTCCTCCATCACAGCACGCTGGGTTACCCCGTCGGCGAAGTCGCCCGCCGAACTACAGTAGACAAACTCGTCGGAACCACACATTGGATTCAGAGCACCGGCGGCAGACACAATTAGTATAGTACTGATGATGATCATAAGTGTGTGGAGGAGCAGTACCACCATCATCACCACCACCGCCATTTTCCCTTTGTTAAGTTGGCTTGTGTAATTGTGGCTGTGTTTGTAAACTATATATAGGGAGATCGATACATACGGCAGAGTGGGATCCATTATTTTGATACAAATACGTTGTGAATGTGAGACCAATGGCTTGGTTTGGAGAAGATAGATACAAACTTAAGCATCATTGCTAATAAATACCATATATACATATATTTATTTATTTTCCGATGAAGGGGCAGGATTTTATTCATTAAATACCATCAACAACATTACAACTCTTCTAACCGGCCATATAGCTCTCGACAGAGTTTTACTGACTAACAACTACACGTATATGCTTACAATGAACCTCCAGCCATTTTCCTTATACCATAAGGATAGCATAGGAATAGACTCTGCAACTTCTGGATCGCCTGCCTCTTTTGCTTCCATCACACCCTGCATCTTCTTTATGATTTCCCCAACAGTCAGCTGCTTTCCTCCATAAAGCCGTCTGCACATTTCCCTCCATATCTCGCTCAATACCAGGCGCCAAAGTATTCTGCCAACCAAACACTTTTTAAGCCGCTGAGTTGCTAAGTTTACTGCCTGCTGCAGTGTTATTGAGACTGGGAGTGACCATGACACGAGAATTATACAACAGCCCAGACTTCCTGCAGATATTTACACAGAAAGAAAATGTGTCTCTTGGACTCTGGTTCTTGTCCACAGAGAGGACAAGTTGTTTCCACTTCCGGATTCCAACGCTTCACTACATCAAGAGTAGTTATTCTACCTAGGAGAATCATCCATGTAATTGTTCAGTTCTTTGGGATACCACTCTTCCACACTAGTTTAGACCAACTCACAACTTCACTTTTTGGTCTGATACTTTGCCATACCCTACTAGTCTTGAAACTAGGCATCTTCTCACCTTCTCATTCCACCCCTTGATCTGTCTTGCACATTTTCCCTTCAAACTCTTCTCTCATCTTGAGTATTTTATTCCACACCCAAGAAACTTTAGTACTCACATCCCAGATACTCATATTTTGAAGTCGGTATTCCTTAATCTAAGCAATCCAAAAGGTATCTTGATCAGCAAGAACTCCCTAGATGTGACGAGCCAGGCAAGCCTTGTTCCAAGAGTACAGATCTTTGAACCCCATGCCACTCTCTATTTTTGGCAGAGCTACAAGTTTCCAGGAAACTTTAGCTTTTTTCTTCTTTTCAAAGTCACTCCAAAGGAATTGAGAGCAAAGAGTTTCAATTTGCTTAATAACCTTCTTAGGCAAGAGGATGACATTCATCCAGAACTGGGTTGTTGTATTAAGGATTAAAAAATCATATCGTACCGGCGGTTCGACCAGAAAAACTCATACCGGAAGCGAAATTGGTAAGCTGTATTTAGCGGTGCGAAACGGTTGAACCACAGTTTCAGTATAAAATATCCTACCATTGACTTTCCTAGTACAGCCTCCGGTACGATTTTTCAATTCTCCATTGTTATCATTATTATTAATTGACTTTTGGGATGCATTTCTAAAAATGCTATATACTATACTCCCTAAATTAAAAGTAGCATGTAATTTTCCACTCTTTCAAATTTTAATTGTTAGCGTCGGTGAGATATTACATAAAACTACTGCCAATATATGCACTACCCAAGTCCTAATTCTGTATCGGGAACCCTGAATCCTAAATTCTTAAATTCTTAAACCTAACCTTAAAACCTTAAAATATAAACATCTGAAGACTTCGCTGAAGTGATCTTCATACAAATCCATCAATTTTCTCATTAGTCTCAATCCAATTGGTTATTATTTATGATAATTATTGAAAATAAAAATTAAATAGCCATTAAATCTCACACCTTTCATCTAAATATTTCTGGATCCACTCAAAACTAAAAGCCCAAATCTAGTTATGCGTATGTACATTATCCTATACTTAGTTGTGGACGGTTAGATACAATTTTAATAAATGACTCTAAAATGAAGTTTAGAGTTAAACCAAGATGAATCTTCTATATAGATTATTAGATTTTGTACGATTTTGTAACTTATTTGTGGGACAGGTTATGGTGGATACTTCGTGTTAGTAACCACGGTGGTTACTAGGGATAAGAAGGGTATTTTGCTTTCATCCTAATTCAAACTACCATTTTAATTACGCAATTAATTAGGAAGAGATAATTACGGTAATTAATTATTAGGTAGTTTAATCAGCGTAGGGCTTTTCGAATGCCACGTTTTTTGGCCGGCCCTATTTCTGCCGCCGTGTACACTTCGAAGTCCACCTTTTTTTGCCGGCGTTGCATCATCGCCGACGTTGCATCAATGGCGACCGCCGAGTTCCATGCACAACTCCACCGCCACCGCCACCGCCTCCTCCACCATCGAAGCCCGGATGTGAGCTCCCGCCGCCAGCACCAACAATGTCGCCGCCGCCAACACCCAGCTACCACTCGCCGCAATCCCCTCCGCCGCCGCCTCCACATCACCAAAGTCCTCCTCCGCCCCATTCCATGCAGTGGTAGTCCTTTGATGCAGTGGTAGTCCTTTCATGCAGTGGTAGTTTTCTGCATACATGTTTCGGATTGGTATTGTTACGTACTTGTTTAGGAATAATGGTAGTCCTTACATTGGTATAAGTTGGATTGTTATTGGTAGTTCGTATCGCATTGGTATTCGTTTGATTGGATTGGTATTGGTTCTGACTTTTGTATTAGCTACTACAATGGTAGTTATTTTTTGGCATATTTGTAACAAATGGTAGTGCTTTGTTAGTTGTAGTATGAGTTATTGGAATGGTAGTGATTAATTGTTGTTTTACAAATTGCAGATCAGGTGTATAAAGTTGTCCCGGCCGACAAATCGACATGGCAGCATTTGAGATTTGAAAATAGGGAAGCATTTGTCAAGTTCTACAAAGACTTCGCACACTGGAGGGGTTTTGGAGTAAGACGTATTGGAGAACAGACTCGAAAACCCAAATATCTTAAGGAACGGAAGGTGTTTTACTTTGGAGCACGGTGCAACAAAGAAGGGTTCAAAACAAGGAGCACGCTGGATCCAAAGAATGTCGGTGTTGTGGTAGACACAGAACCTAATAAGAAGAGGAAGAGGGGCGAGACTCGTTTGGATGTAAACAAAATCCAATCCGAGCTTCTTTATTAGTTCTATCCTTGCATTTGTTATACCATTCTCGACAATTGATATAATCGATGCGGGGCTGCACTTCTTCCCAAGTGGTTTAGATTTACCCATATCCTTCTGCGGCACAGCTTCATCAAGGGCAGAGGTTTGCCCACTTCCAACTTGAACCTGTTACCTAACCTAACGACTGCTGTAGGTAACAGGTTCCTTGTGTTTTGAGCCCCTACGACTGGGTTCTTGGTTCTTGCCATTCCTAAAATTGGGAAAATGGGAGGTAAGTCGTTTAAAATTAATCAAGCATCACAACCGTTGCATGGGAAAAAACTACCAATCCAAATGAAGACTACCAATCCACATCAAACACCAGATTCACATGTATGGAGAAAACTACCAATGCATGAAAGGAAACCACCATTCAAAAAAACTAAAAAACTACCATTCGAACGGAATAGTACCAATCCACATCAAAAAGCACGGTTTCACATGTATGCAGAAAACTACCAATGCATGAATGAAAACAGTAAAAATCTACCAATCCAAATGAAGACTACCAATCCAACATGACACAACAATTCAAAACAGTAATAAAACTACCAATCCAAATGAAGACTACCAATCCACATCAAACTACCAGATTCACATGTATGGAGAAAACTACCAATGCATGAAAGGAAACTACCATTCAAAAAAACTAAAAAACTACCATTCGAACAGAACAGTACCAATCACATCAAAAAGCACGGTTTCACATGTATGCAGAAAACTACCAATGCATGAAAGAAAACAGCAAAAAAGAATACCATTCCAACATAACACTACAATTCAAAACAGCAAAAAAACTACCATTCCAAACATTACAATACCATTCCAGAACCGGCGGCAGCCGGAGCTATGAATGCCGTCTGCGGAGAAGATGGAGTTTCAAGCTTGAAGCTGGGTTTTGGCCTTTGGGTGGAAGTCTGCGGAGAAGAGAAAGGAAGCAGATTTGATGGCGTGGCGGATTAGGGTGGAAGCTGGGTTTTGGCCTTTGGGTGGAAGTTTGCGGATTAGGGAGAAGAGAAAGGAAGCAGATTTGATGGCGTGGAGGATTAGGGTGGAAGCTGGGTTTTGGCCTTTGGGTGGAAGTCTGCGGAGTAGGGTTTCTCGATTCTCGAATGAAGGATGCGGTGGCGGATTTGATGGCGTCGCAGAGTCAATACCAAGTTGATCGGAGAGGGGAAGGGGTGGAGGCGATGGCGGATTTGATGGCGTCGGAGAGGCGGAGGTTGATCGATAGCGGGAGCGACAGGGAGAGGAGGGAGGAGACGACGGCTAGGTATTAGGGTTTGAGTAAAATATATACAGTAATCAGGTGTGGTATGTTTTTCATTTCCTAAATTACCCTTAGCTAATCTTAATCATTAATTTAAAATTATAATAAAATAAAGATAATGAATGATATAGATGTTGGTAGCCACCGTGATTACTCAAAATTGAGTAACCACCTAACCTATCCCCTTATTTGTTTCCTTGTTATTATTGGGACAAACAAATACGAATCTTCATTCTTCTGTATATATAGGCGTCCAAATCTTCACTTAAAATAAAGAGTTTTCTTCCCTGTAAATGCATAATACTAACCTTTGCGTCTTTTCTGTAACTAGTTATTATTGATGCGACAATTCACGTTCTCGCGCATCAACCAATCGTCGTTGAATTCTTCTTCTCACTACACTTTATATTAATTAAACAAAATGCCGAGAAAGGTATAATGTTGAATTCTTCTTATCACCTATTTTGGATCCATAGACATAGCTTCTCACTACTAACTTCTCAGTCTCCTTCCACCTTGGGGTGCCTGCCATTCCTCTTTTTAGCTCGAGAGCCATGTTTAGGCGGGGATTTGTAGGCTTTCATGGCATCTCCTGAACAATAAACTCATCCTCAGATTCTTCCTCAAGAATGAGGCGCCGGCGTCGAGATTGTTCCTTGTTTTGACTAATAGTCAAAGGGTTCAGGTTTTGACCATCTCGTCGTGTCACCTGCGGCTTTTCATTCGACCTCTCATTCCAGTGTTCCGCCTGAGGCGCTTGTCGAGCAGCATTTAATGGTACTTTGCCCCTGACCCAGGGGTCCAGGCACACGTCTCCCATTCTTTCGAGGAGCTTGAGATCCCTGCTCCGCCAGCGCCTGGATTTTGCGGCCATTATTTCTGAGATGGAGTTTAGGGGCTCTCGAAACGGGGAATCGGAGAGGGCTACGGCGCTTTTGCATAGGAGGCTCAGTTTCCATGAAAGGGTGATTCGATGATCCCATCCAAAGGGGGTTGTCTTCAATCACAGGCATCTTTTTCGATGCCTCTATCCGTCGCGCCTCCAAAGAGAGGCCACGAGTCGTCTTCTGATCAGTCACCATTTGCCCTCGAATCTCCTTGTTGACACATACCGATCGTGCGGAATAGGTAGGGAACTGCTCCTCATCATAAAAAAAACCTTTCGGCCCAACTTTTTGGTCGACATCTGAGGTCCAAAACGTTCCTTGCTTGAAGGAGGGTCAAACGAGCAGGCCTGTCGAGAATGGCTGGCTCGCCCACAATGGAAGCAGAAGCTCGACAAATATTCATACTTCAATCGAATTCAGAAGCACCCGGTTTCCTCATTGGTCCCCATAATGTGGGATTGTAGAGGCTTGGAGAAATCTAGCAGCACCTTAAGTTTAATGAAACGTTGATTCGACTCATTACAGGAAAACAAGCCGGCCTCCAGGAGCCTTCCAAGTGTGGCAGCCGCTACTTTGCGTCCAAACTGATGGGTGCAACACTCATCTTGGACGTCCCATAATTGGACTCAGAAAAGAGCTACAACTAGCTCATCAAAAGTTCTTCTGGTAACAGATGGAGACTAGGCTCGTAAATGGAGGATCTTGTCGTCGCTTACCCATGGGGTTTGTTTGAGAATCCAAGCTTTAACAACCTTAGTTGGTAGAACGAACTCAAAGAGTCTGTGAGAAACCTCTCTCACCCGGATTCAACGGCGTCCTTGCCAGGGGTTATTCACCAGTTCCCTGAGCTCGAGAGGAGAGAAGTTTTCTTCGGTGAATAGGCGGCCGAGCAAGGACTGGTCTTGGCGCACCTTCTTCGACTGAACATCTTCCAAAGAGAACACCACGATTTGGTCTTGTGAGATGCGCGACATGGTTGCTTGCTGCAAAGATGGCAGGCTGTGTGAGTCATCCGCAATTGTGAAAGAAACGATAGACATAGTCCCGACCAGGGGAAGCAAGACAGTGAACAAGAGAGTTTATATAACAGGGTCGAATCCACCCAAAGCAGAGTATTAATAGCTGCACAATTAATCTTCCACCTACCAACGTGCAGTCTGTGCGTTTGGGAAATTGCGCGCCTTCTCTGCACCACTTGCCGTAGACGAGGTGTTCGTAAGAGCGAAGAAGAACCTCGACTAGGGCAGGGTTTTATAAGGAGGACGCTGCCCAATAATCCCGTAACAAACAGGTGACCTATTTGGATTAGGATTCGAGTATGTTTAGTTTTTCCTTTTTTTTATTTTTTCAAATCGGGGGGCAGGATCACTAGGAATCCTTAGACGTTTACGAAATTGGATCGGATAGATCCCATTTCCCATATGCAAGCCCGATATTCCTGGGTTCTTACCGGAAAACCGTTGGTTGTCAGTCAAACGCGCTATTGATCCCTTCGTCATTGGAGGCGGCCAGAGAATCACCGCCGGCTAACAATGGGAGGCACATACAAACGTATCGATCCCACAGATTTTACTGAGAAAGCTCGCCCCACCGTGGGGTCTGAGCTTAATCGTCGTGGGCGAGCCAAGAATGTAAACGTCCATTTTATTAAGATTGCGCAACAGAGATTGGGGGATAATAGTTTCACCTTCCTCCCAATCCACCTCACAAGCTGCTGGTAATTAAAATCGCCATATTGACGTTTTGAATCGCCTCCTTCGTTTAGATGAAGGGACGATCGAATCAAGACCAAAATTGACGGGAAGTCTCCGTCGTTTTTTGCATGTCACAGTTGCATCTTTGTCAGTGTGATCTGAACCCTCCTTAGGAAAAAAGGATCCACTGATCCTAGTATCTCCAACACTGCAGATGCGCTTGGCGGGATCGCGGTATCTCTAAGCCTTCGCTGGTTGGAAAGGACTGCCTCCAGCACCGCCGTTAGGAAAGCGTACAGAAGGCGACCGACGATGAAGCAGATTTCGAAGAGAGAGGAGAGAGCTCCTCTTTTTTTTTTTTTTTTTTTTATGTTTTTTCACCTTGGTTAGGGTTACTTGATCCTCTTATGTAGACTGCTTCTTATTGAACTTTTGCTCATGAACAATCAAAGAACTTTAGAGAGCATCAACAAATTAGCTCCTCAGTGTCCTTGGATTTTTCAATTGAGCAAACAACATAGTAATATTTTTCTGTTAAGGTTCTCAATATCTTTTCTATAATCTGCACATCAGGCATCTCATCTCCACAGTTCCTCATTGTGATAATCGGCTTTAATATATCGGATTCGTGAGCTTTATGTGACTATCTCATGGTATGTTTTAGCCGATTGGTGCTAATTTAGGGCTCGCTGACCCGGGAATGGTTGAAAAAACATTATTGCCTAGTGCCATGAGTTTGCTATGTTACAGGTGGAGAAAGCACGAAAAAGAAGCGAATGCACAACAAGTAATTGGATCAAAGCCCAAATTGATGGGGCTTTTGGAAATGGCTGGGGCGCTGATGGTAGAAGGGAATTTTTGGACCGGAATTATTTTGAGTGGGCCGAGAGTTTTGGATGTACTGAGGGGTTGATGGAATTGGACACAGAAGAAGAATTTTGGCACGGGGGGTAAAAGGGAGGCAATTTAATTAGAATTGGGGGAGCTTAGGGGAAGGGAAGCGGAAGGCAATTATTCAAGGCGAAATTCTCCAGAAGAAAAGAGAAGGCAGCAGGGAGTTTGGGGAACGAAATAAAAGTGGAAGAGAGGGATCTCTGGGAAACGGACGCGAATTTCTTGGTGAGAAAGAAAGGAAGCGGCGCAGCAAGGCAGCAGCAGAGCAAAAGGCGACCAGTCGATTTTCAATCGGCGAATCAGTTTTCCAGGCTACCTGAGCTGAGTTCAACGAAAGTGATTAGTTGGTTGGATTTTCTAAACCTAATTAGTTGTTTCTTGTTGTTTTAGAACATGATGAACAAAACCCTATCGATTTATCTTAATTTCATCATGAACTAAACCCCAATTTCTGGGGGAAACACCATAGGATGTAGCTATTTCTTGATTTGATGGATTGATTTATGATTCTTTTTTCCATTCTCTATTGCATGAAATTACTTAATGCTTTGTGTTGACTGGCCACCAATACATTGATTTGTTGTTAATTAGGTTATTAGCGACAGTGAAACCCTAATGACCGAACCTATTTCATGTGACATAGTAACTTATCGAAGAGACAGTGGATTAAATAAGGTACTATGCGGTCTTAAATGGGATATCGATCTTCAGGCTAAATAATTAGGTCATTGAGCTACGACAGTAGGATTTGATTTAATTGTTTAGTACGTAGTAATGCCCGACAGGGACAGCTAGCACATTCGTGATATCCTGGCTGTAGAGGTATGGATTAAATTGATTGGAATATGTGAATTAATCTGGATAGGATAGGTAGTGAATCCCGGTGTTTCTCCCAGAGCTTTCTCCCATTGATTTAAACCCGACATTTTAATTTGCTTGTTTTGTTTAATTACTTTGCTAGTAGATCATAGTTTCATCTCATTAAACATTTTCACATATAGTTTGCTCAATAAAAATTGATAGAACTTAAGGTTGTACCAGTCCCTGAGAGACGATACCCGGACTTTCCGGTTTTACTACGAGGTAGGAATTGAAGCATTGCGCTTTTGCCCTATCAAGTTTTTGGCGCCGTTGCCGGGGACTGCCATACCTTATTTTTGTTGATTTTTGTGAGTGAACTATTTTGATCTGGGTGTTAGTGTGCAAAAGAATTTTCAGGTTTATCTTCCTCGTGCATGCCAAGGAGGACGACCGGCAATTTACTGCCACTTGATCCAGAGATAGAGAGGACCTGCCGACAGAACAGGAAGCAGGTCAAGTTAGGGAAGCAGCCAACCACAACCACAACCACAAAGATTGATGCTAAGCTGGATTCCAAGTTCGATGCACTCGAACGAAGGCTGGCCAAGATTGCTCTGGGTAGACAAGAGGAGGTTGTTTCATGTGAACTTTGCGAGGGTCCTCATCACAGGGATATGTGTCCACTGGGAGCTGCTCAGTTGGAAGATGTCCAATACATCAATAATCCGCGATGTCAAGGCCAGGGTGGTATGTATTCAAATACCTACAACCCTCAATGGAGACATCACCCCAATATGTCATGGTCAAACAATAATCCAGCTGGTGTTCGAAACATCCCACCTCCCGGTTTTCAACAGCAGCAGCCTCAACCAGAAAAGAAGCCCCAGCTGGAGGAGTTGATTTTGGCTCATATGCAGAAAACAGACAATAATTTCAAGGGCCTGGATCAATTTGTCACTCAACAGCTAGCCATCAACAATAATTTACAATCGTCTATGCTAGCTATGGAGAGGCAGATGGGACAGATGGCTCAAACTTTGGCAGATATGCAAGGCAGGATTCCTGGGTCATTACCAGCAAATACTGAGAGGAATCCAAAGGACGCCATGGTTGTAGCCGTCACATTGAGGAGTGGAAAGGCCTTGGAAGACCCTAGCAGCTCGAAAAAGGCACCAGAGGCAGAAGAGGAAGCACCCGGAGAAAGATCTTGTGCAGAAAATGAAGAATCAGCCTTGCACAGGCAAAATGAAAGCAGTTTGCCTGTGCAAAAGCATGCTGCCCGTGTACCTCAAAAAGTGGAAAAATCGAAGAATGAAGAGGTAAAACCTTATGAACCTCCCGCACCATTCCCTCAAAGGTTAATGAAGCCCATGGAAGACCCAAACTTCAAGAAATTTGTGAATATCTTCAAGCAACTTCAGATTAACATACCCTTGGCGGAGGCACTTGAACAGATGCCTACATATGCTAAATTCTTAAGGGAGTTGCTAACAAAGAAGCGGAAATGGGCTGATCTAGAGAAGGTAACCCTTACTTCTGAATGTAGTGCTGTGATTCAGAATAAATTACCAGAAAAGAGGGATGATCCGGGAAGCTTCACCATTCCATGTGTCATTGGAGGTACAGAATTCAATAAATCACTTTGTGATCTTGGAGCAGGAATTAATTTGATGCCACACTCAGTCTACAAGAAATTGGGATTGGGAGATGTTCTTAAGCCTACTCGGATCACTCTCCAATTGGCTGATCGATCAGTAAAAATTCCAAAAGGAGTGGTGGAGAATGTATTGGTGAAGGTGGGGAAGTTTATTCTCCCAACAGATTTTGTAATTCTGGAGATGGAAGATGATCGGGGAGTGCCTCTAATTCTCGGCAAACCTTTTCTAGCAACCGGTGATGCACTCATCGATGTTGGGAGAGGCAAGTTGACATTCCGAGTAGGTAAGGAGGAGGAAATTTTTAATGTCTTTCAAGTTGACCATAATCATGATGAATTTGAAAGTGGAGCTCGAGAAAGGAAAAATCCCTCTTCCTGTGATAGTGGACCATCCGAAGAACTATCACCTATCCTATCTGCTCAGATTCTGAAGTCAAAGCAAGGGCAGAAATCCTTGCCAGATCACCTCAAGTATAGATATTTGGGTAAGGATTTCAACCTTCCTGTTATTATTCCTTCTTCACTAACATTGAAACAGGAAGAGTACTTGCTTGAGGCACTGCAATACCACCTACGCCTCACTAAAGGGTCCAACATGCCAACTAAGAAGGTCACACCGAATTTTCGCACACCTGGCCCTGCTGAGGTGACTCATATGTTGGATGGAGGGTATGCGTTCTATCATTGCTCGGGAGGGTATGCTGGATACCTTTCCATACCCATTGGTTGAAAGCTCCATGAACGTCAGGCTGAGGACGTTAAACAAGCGCTTCTTGGGAGGCAACCCAAGGTAAGTTTTCTTTTCTTTATTTTTCTTTTTAGTTGTGTCAAACCCGTACATGTTTAGAGTAGGAGTTGAACATTAGGGACAATGTTCCATCCTGAGTGTGGGGTGGCGAGTCTTAGTGTTTGTTTGTTCCTTTTGTCATGTGGTCGGTAAAAAAAAAAAGTAAAAAAAAATATTTTCCATTGGTGAGTCTTAGTGTTGTTTGTCCCTGTTGCATGTGGTAAAAAAAAACAAAAAAAAAATTCTGTCATTTGGCTATGCACAGCCAAACTGCATGCAGTTTGCCTGTGTAAAAAGCATGCTGCCTGTGCAAAGCTAATGGCTAAAAAACACCTAAAAATCAGAAAAATCAAAAACAAAACCTTGTACTCTTGTGGTAACATGATGTAAATGACTGTGATGCCTTGAAAATGAGTTTGTGCTTGAATGAAATCATCAAAATCACCCCACTAGTGTTGAATTGCATAGTTCTTCACAATGAGTTTGAATGTTTTGACTGACTTGATATGCTTTGAATGAGCAACTCTTTTAGCAACATTCTCTTTTGTAGGATAGTGTAATGACTTTTGGTGAAGTAGTTAGGTGGAGAACATTGACCATTCGACAAGTTTGGATACCGTGCTTACTTGCATCAATTGTGAGCTTTTGATTTGGCAACGAGTCTCTCTGTTTTGATGGTTTTATGATGGGGTGAAATGTATCTTTATAAAATGAGAAAACACTACCTGGCAAGTAAAATATAAGAAAGTTGTCATAACAATTAAAGTGTGGGTAAAAATGCCAAAATCGTGTGAGGCAATCACTCATTGCACATGGGGATGAGGAAAGATTCAATTGAGAATCGGTTCGCGACCGTACGATGTTGCTTATCAAGTACGATCCCCAGTTGAGTGAAGTGCCATTTGAGGATGCAATGACCCTCCACACGGACCGAGGAAAAGGAGTTAAAAGAAGCCCTTATGCGAGTGCTAAGAAGCAGAAATTGCTCTTGCTCGGTCACCGGTAGTAAGAAACAAATCCCACTTGTACTAAATACGACCACTCGGCAAGCAAAATTAGAAAGAGGGAAAGACTCTCCTTGTCAAAAAAGGTAGTGAAGTGCTTAAAGTTAAAGTCATGTTTGCGAAAGGCTTCCCCCATTAGTTTTTGAGACTCATGCTTAATTAATTGCTTGTGATTGGTGTGAGTAAGCCAGATTGTCCTCACGAGATATGCACCTCACTGATGTGGTTGGATTCTCCTAATAACCGTTGCACCATAAGTTGTTAACCACCCACTACCGACGATCGAAATTGAGTGTTGCTATTTGAGTTTTTGATGGATTTGAGTCAGTCAATGATAATGGTTGTGCAAAGAGCTTGAGTGTGGGGTGAAAGGTATGACCATTAAAGCACAACTTGTCCGTTGAGAAAGAAACTGCTGATTACAACAAGAGTACAAGGAAATTTTGTGTTTTGCTTTGAGTGTTTGATTAGTGATTCTATGGTGTGTCATTGTTATGATTAGTTATGTGTTTGTGTTGTTTGAGTCGTTGCTTAGGGACAAGCAACAATTGAGTGTGGGGTTGTGATAATCGGCTTTAATATATCGGATTCGTGAGCTTTATGTGACTATCTCATGGTATGTTTTAGCCGATTGGTGCTAATTTAGGGCTCGCTAACCCGGGAATGGTTGAAAAACCATTATTGCCTAGTGCCACAAGTTTGCTATGTTACAGGTGGAGAAAGCACGAAAAAGAAGCGAGTGCACAACAAGTAATTGGGCCAAAGCCTAAATTGATGGGGCTTTTGGAAATGGCCGAGGCGCTGATGGTAGAAGGGAATTTTTGGACCGGAATTATTTTGAGTGGGCCGAGAGTTTTGGATGTACTGAGGGGTTTATGGAATTGGACACAGAAGAAGAATTTTGGCACGGGGGGTAAAAGGGAGGCAATTTAATTAGAATTGGGGGAGCTTAGGGGAAGGGAAGCGGAAGGCAATTATTCAAGGCGAAATTCTCCAGAAGAAAAGAGAAGGCAGCAGGGAGTTTGGGGAACGAAATAAAAGTGGAAGAGAGGGATCTCTGGGAAACGGACGCGAATTTCTTGGTGAGAAAGAAAGGAAGCGGCGCAGCAAGGTAGCAGCAGAGCAAAAGGCGACCAGTCGATTTTCAATCGGCGAATCAGTTTTCCAGGCTACCTGAGCTGAGTTCAACGAAAGTGATTAGTTGGTTGGATTTTCTAAACCTAATTAGTTGTTTCTTGTTGTTTTAGAACATGATGAACAAAACCCTATCGATTTATCTTAATTTCATCATGAACTAAACCCCAATTTCTGGGGGGAAACACCATAGGATGTAGCTATTTCTTAATTTGATGGATTGATTTATGATTCTTTTTTTCCATTCTCTATTGCATGAAATTACTTAATGCTTTGTGTTGACTGGCCACCAATACATTGATTTGTTGTTAATTAGGTTATTAGCGACAGTGAAACCCTAATAACCGAACCTATTTCATGTGACATAGTAACTTATCGAAGCGACAGTGGATTAAATAAGGTACTATGCGATCTTAAATGGGATATCGATCTTCAGGCTAAATAATTAGGTCATTGAGCTACGACAGTAGGATTTGATTTAATTGTTTAGTACGTAGTAATGCCCGACAGGGACAGCTAGCACATTCGTGATATCCTGGCTGTAGAGGTATGGATTAAATTGATTGGAATATGTGAATTAATCTGGATAAGATAGGTAGTGAATCCCGGTGTTTCTCCCAGAGCTTTCTCCCATTGATTTAAACCCGACATTTTAATTTGCTTGTTTTGTTTAATTACTTTGCTAGTAGATCATAGTTTCATCTCATTAAACATTTTCACATATAGTTTGCTCAATAAAAATTGATAGAACTTAAGGTTGTACCAGTCCCTGAGAGACGATACCCGGACTTTCCGGTTTTACTACGAGGTAGGAATTGAAGCATTGCGCTTTTGCCCTATCACATTGCATTAGCTGTAGTCATAACCCTATTGAAATGACTGTTCACAGACTCCCCTTCTTTCATTTCAATTATCTCAAAGTTTCTCCTAAGAGCCCGTGGATTAAACTTCTGAACTCTAGCATTACCTTGATATTTGACTCTCATGGAATCCAATAGATCTTTAACAGTACCTTTCTTTGATATGGTCTTCAGGATGATTTTGTCAATGGAGCTGAAGCAGTAATTTTTGGCTTTCAGATCCTTCAGCTTCAAATCGTCCAGAACCTTTATTTATGCCACAGACTACACTGCGTCATCTTTGTTCTCTGTGATTCCATTTTGAACAACATGCCAATACACCTTTGATCGAAGCAGGTTCTCCATCAACAGACTCCAGTGATCATAATGCACCATCTTCCTTCTTTTTGCGAGGTCCAAACTGTTTTGATTGTGAACTTGTGTAATATCTTCCCTTCCTAGCTAACTACTTTGTTTATGTCCGCTTCAAATCTGTATGTAATTAAACCACGATCTAAGGCGAAGAAGCCTCTTCCATAACCACGATCCCACCTGGGTTTATGGAATATCCCAAAATACTCTTATTATTATCGTTAATACGGTGGTAACACTACGGGACATTAACATTCTATCCGGTCCCTATAGTAATACAGTTTATTTTAATTCTGAGTAAATTTTGCTTATATATAATATAAAAGCAGAGAAAATCCAGGGGAAGAAATTCAGCAGTATAGTCCTGTTGTTGAATGTGATTGTCTTGTTGTGAGAGTTAGGCCATGTGCAACAGTGGTTGCCTATCGGCAGAAGTTAGAAATAGATTACCTTATCAAGTTCTTGAAGGGTTTGAAACCTGAGTTTGATGTTGTTCAAACACAGCTGCTCATGTTGAAACCCTTAGCTGCTGTAGAGGTTGCATTAGATGATATTTTGCAGCATGAACAGAAACTGCAGGGTGACAAAGGTAAAAGTACCAAGGGTATTCAATCTGTTCATTGGCTGCACAAGGACAAGGTGAATAGAACAAGTCTTTCAACTCTAACAAAGAGAACAATTCTGAGCCTGCTAGAGAATAAAAGTTATGTCGATATTGTAAGATGAGTGGGCATTTGAAAGAAAAATGCTATCGATTGAAGAATAAGAAAGCTCGTATGGCTGAAGGAGGGACTTTTGCTGGCTCAGTATCTCAATCAGACTCACATAGTGGTGACTCTACTTTCTCGGGACAAAGTATTGGTTATGACAACAAATCTTCCTCAACTGGTTCAATCAAATTCACTACTGAGGAGATGAACAAGTTGAGGCTTTTCTTGCATCAGCCTGATAGCATGAGTCCATCACCACCACTTTCACCTTCCATCAAGCATGCCTCATACTCAGTCTCACAGCAGCTACCATGTCATCCTACCTATGCTGGTAAATATGTTATCTCTTCCTATGTCCAACATGGATTAATGGCTCTAGACAAGTTTGGATTCTAGACACTAGTGCTTCAGAACATATGGCATGTTCCCTTGCTATATTCATACAAGGTAGATCTGTTTCCAACCAATTTGTTTATCTGCCTAATGGCTCTAAGGTAGCAGTGAGTCATATAGGTTCAGTTAGACTTCCTAATGGTTTGACTTTACACAATGTTCTCTTAGTCCCAAGTTTTACTTTCAACCTGGTCTCCATTAGTAAACTCACCCATGACCTGCCCATTTCCTTGATTTTTGAATATGACCTTGTCATATTCAGGACCAAACAACCAAGAACTTGATTGGTTCAGCAAGACAGGATAGGGGCCTTTACCATCTCATCACCACACCAAGACCATCATCTGCCATTCCAACTCACCAAGTAGCAACTACCTATAACTTCCATCCTCACCAGATAGACCTTTGGCATTGGAGACTAGGGAATCCAAGTAAAGAGAGAGAACATCAAGCTACTGGATGTAATAGGATTTATATTAAACACTGTGAAACTTGTCACCTAGCTGAACAGAAGAAACTTCCCTTTCCTCTTAGTGACACTAGGGCACTTTCTCCTTTTGATTTAATCAATGTTGACATTAGGGGACCCCTTGCTGTTAAGTCTCATGAAGGCTATTCCTATTTTTGGTCCATTGTAGATGATTATACACGAAGTGTTTGGTTGTTTTTAATGAGGCAGAAGTCAATAGAACTGTTAAGGTTATTAGAAGTGATCAAGGGAATGAATTTCACATGTCTGACTTTTACAACACACATGGAATTGCACACTAGCTTTCCTGTATGGAAGCACCTGAACAAAACGCTCATGTTGAGAGGAAGCATCAACATATCCTCAATGTAGCAAGGGCACTTCATTTCCAATCAGGATTGCCTTTACATTTCTGGAGTGATTGCATCCTCCATGCTGTTTTTCTGATTAATAGACTGCCTTCACCATTTACTGATGGTGTTACACCCTTTGAGTTGCTGTATCATATACCTCCTGCCTTAGAT